AAGAGGAAGGTGGGCATCCAGGCATTCACCCAAAACATCCTTGCAAATTCAAGAAGAAGTGGGTGAAGAAGAGCCAGGGCAAGCGGCTGAAGCGTCAAGGCTTCCCGCGAGAACGTCTCGGCCGAACAGGAGGGAGGGCGAAGAGGAGGGACAACTACATCAGCATCCAACCTGTTGCGAAGGCCGTCGCCAGTCAGGAGGGGCGGTCAGCATCTGAAATCAATAGCAGATATTGCATAAGCTATAAGCGTGTCTTTCCACATCGCCTAAAAATTACAGAAAGCCACTTTTTTCGATCCTCGACTTTAGGACGACGAGTCGGCGAGGAAGGCCAAGAAGGCGAAAGCAGCTGGAAGAGCCGAATCGTCGTAACAGCAAATTGGGCGGCGCCGGGGCCTCGTCGAAGACCTCGATGATGGGCAAACCGACGTCTATCTCGGGGAGAAACGCCGAATAAGCACCAACCTGCCACGCCAGCACCATTTAGCCGCTCTTCCTGCTACATTAATTTACTTGTGATTGTCCCGCCCCCTCTAAATGTGCCGTCCGCCTCCGTGTGGCAGTGAATAAAAGTTTTTGGTTACTTCCGTGACTTTTGTGTACGCCTGCCGCCGCAACGACCTGACGCTAGAATCACCGCCACCTAATTTTGTCGCTGAAGCCGTTTCTGACCTTTATTGAGCTATTTGAACACAAAAACGGCATTTTGGGAGTACCGTAAACTTGAATTTCGAAAGCCATGGTGCTATTGAGGGTGTACCTTCACTGCGTATCTTGCTCGATTTATTAGAAGCACACTGTGGCATCAAGCGAATTAACAGCGTAGAAGTATCAGGTCGAAAATTCTTGGCTATGAGGTGAGTCGAACCGCTCGGTCATGACGTCGGCTTCTGGGGCGGCGCGTAGCGCAGGAAGGTCCGTGCGTGAAACCAAATGCTGTGACAAGAATCAGCGCCTGGAAAAGACACATTATTCATGAGGAACCAGCCAAGCCGAATTGATAAGACCCCAGGGGCCAAATCTTTTTGCCACCGCGTCAAATTAATTGAAGACGACCGATACAATAGGTCAGTGAGTAGTCGCTGTCGAAGAAGGCTGCCTTTTCGCTGGTAGATGTGGATCGTGTAGGGCCCATGTCTCGCCTCTTTCACGATACTAATCTGAAAAAGAACATGATTCCCGATGTGGTCGTCTGCAAAAAGAGGCGAAAACGCGACGAGGCGTCACGACCATTGCCGCCCCCATAGTTTTAACCGAACTGCCTCAACCCTCATTCATGCGCTAATTCACTGTGCTTGTTCTACTGCGCAAGATATGTTTTGACGTATGCATTTCCGCCTCGCTTGTCAGTGTTTTAAAGTTGTAAATTGTTGTTGCGCAAGCGTCGGGAAGCCACCCGAAAAACCAACCTGGCATAAATGCTTTTTTCCGTGTGTCGGCGGCGATGATTAGCCTGGGCCTCGGTTTGCTCATCTGTGACATGGACGCGCGTCGAGACGATGAATCTGGTGGTAGCGCCCGGCGTCAACGTCTCGGAGTCGGCCACACAACAGATAGGCCAACTGCCCCGGGATCGGAACGGAAGAACACTGCAAATATTTCATTCGAAAATGACCATGACCAGGCTGATCGTAAAATTCAGATTTTGAGATGGTCCAATAAAGTTTTTATCATTTTGTAGTAATCGGAATCTAATAAACACACTATAAAAATAGTTTTCAATTGCTAGTTAGGTATTGGCTAGATTAACACAAAATCAACTTGCTCTCCAGTTAAAAATTTGCACCGAAAAGTAAATTAACGTACATTCAGAGGACTTGTCAACCCAGCGGGTCTCTTCCGCTCCTCATCCAACTCAGCGTTTGTGCCAAGATTCCAAAGCGTCACAAGTCGAAGGTCTAGTGGAATCCTGGAAAACGGGAGAATTTACCGGTCAAAATATACGGTTTCTACCTTAACACGGAGCGTTTTCCGTAGACATTCGTCGGAAATAGCCTCTGTGCTTCGATTCGTAGCTCTACCGGTGCTCTGGCGGCGGGCTTGAAATGTATCCGTTCTAAACATCGTGTAGAAAACATCAGCGTACATACCACGAATCTCTTCTCCAGCCAAAAATTTCGCAATCCGTATTGTGTGCGTGGTGCTCGGCGAAGAACCTAAAATAACCATGCATTGGTTTGGAAATACCCACTTTCCGAGTAACTGGCTGGAACCCCTTGCACAACAATCAGCCAATCCTGTAGCTCGCATCCGGAGCGATTTTCCACACATAAACAGCAGAACAGCGAACCGTCATGTAGATGCTCCGTCTGAAATTGTCGGCTTAGAATTGGCAGTCAGAAAAATAAACCTCGACTCGACATCGCAATGGGAACCCGGCATCGTTATGAAAACTGCGCTTCTCTGACATCCGGTTCGACGCACACGATTCCATCGCTCGACGAATCGCAAGACCCGCCCGGAGCTGAAAGCATTGGGTTGGAAAAGCAACTAAATATATGTACCTGCCGCGCATCATTCTCAACTGCAGCCAATCGAGTACGTAGCGTATCGTATTCGGCTACGTCGAGCAGCCGATCCTCAAAACCGAAAATGAGCCTATTTTTAGGGCCGAATCAACAAACCTTCTCGAAGTCGGACGTTTGCGGCAGCGGCTCCTCAAAGTCCATCGGCTCATCACGACCTTCCGTAATCGATTCTCTCCCTAACGATCCGGAGAACGGATTCTCAAACGAATCGTCATCATCATCCATCCTCGCACGATGATGTACGACGGCACGAAACGGCTTGGAAGCTCTAAATTATTTTCAACAGTGTTCTATTCATTTCAAACATCGAACCGCTTACGCGGGAAAAGGCGGGACTTTTAGGTCGGGTATGGGGGCTGAAATAGTTTATCTCGCCGCAAATAACAACCACCAACAACATAACAAAATAACAACTTGAAAAGCAATGCATGGCACAAGAAAGACAAATTGGGAGGGGGGGAGGGGTTAAAGCCTTAAAAATGATGACCAATAGAAGCCAAAAAGCAAGCATGAATTCAAAAAATGCTAAAAACAATGGATGCACTCAATTATTGATCTAGGATCAACGATGACGTCTTTTTCGGGTAAGCAATTCTTTCATATCCAAGACCTTATCGTTCAAGTAGCGCACCACAGGGATGTAGAGGTCGCAGCGCCGTTCAAATTCCAGCGTCACGGCATCCACTTGCTCGATGAATTTCCGACCTTCCGTGTAGCTTTGCCGCTCCTCAATCCGATCCAGCTCTTGGTCTCCAGCCGCCAGCAGCTCTTTGATCGACTTCTTGACCGTTCGATTCAGATTCGATACGTTTTTCAGAAGTCCGTCGACGACCGTGTTAAACCGATACTTGGATTTTTGAACGAGGTCCGCAAGTTCGCGCTGGAAAAGCTTTTCGCGTTGGTGATTTTCGTGGCGGTCCAGGTAGCAAGCGCCGCAAATAACCTTCGAACAATCAACGCAATAAATCAAGCATTCCGGATGCTGGTCTCTTGAGCAATCTTCACAGTCTTTACGACCATCAGTTCCTGAGCCATCCTTCATTCGTTCCGTGTCGCCGTCGACGGCCCAATTCTTCGCAAGCTCATCGTAGAACCTCAGAAATTCTGTGCCGTCCCAGTCCTTTTTGATCGCGTAATCCACGTCGCAAGTGAAACATTTTACGGTTTTAGCTGGCAACCTGATGCCGTCAACCCGTTGACTCGAGCAGACACTGCAAACAAGATGTCCGCACTGCAGGGAATGTGCATTTATGCTATTCGTCGGCATCATCGCGTCTCGACATCCGACGCATTTTGGTCCAATTATTGTGCCGGTAAAGTAGTAGCCACGATTGTTTTTCTTAGCAGATGATTGGCCGAGCAGTTCGACAATCCAGCGCACCGGTGTAGGAAATGTCTGGCTTGTCCGGCAGCGGGCGCAACAGACCTGAGCATTTTCGTAAACTGGCGTCATCGGCTTGCCCGCTCCGGCATCGAATGGCCTGCGGCACTTCGGACAGTTGAAACATCCCATCACCAACGGCTGCATGACCTTGCCGATTTTCTTGTCTTTCATTTCCAGCAAAATATGCGATGAATGTTCATAGGTGCAGCAGACTCCACAAACCGTCATCGAGCAGTCCAGACAATTGAAATGTCGATCGGTGGGCTCTTCCAAGTCGCATTTATCGCATTTTGCCGTTCCTTTATACGAGTCGGCTTCCTTGTTTTTGTTCTCCACATGTACCTTGTCCAACCAGCCGATGGAGAGCTCCTCCACGAACTTGAGAAACACTTGGGAATTGAATTGATTGGGAACGAGCCTCGTCTTGCAAACAGGACAAGTCGAATCCTTTGTTTTCCTGAAGTAGCAGGTGTGACAAAGTAGATGCCCGCATTGAAGCGCCAGCGCACGGTGTTCACGTCGCGCCGTGAAGCCATTATGGCATCCTGGGCATGAGGGCAACATCAGAGGGCGCGAACATGCGTAACCTTCATTAGTTCTCTTGAGTCCGGGCTGTGCAAGGAAGGCGTGTATCCAGGTTGCAGCGCAGGGCTTCGCTCCTTTCTTGGCCATCCCGCCGAAACAGCTGGCACATTCGTTTCTGCCATTTCCCGTGTTGATCGGACTGTGCAACATCTCAGGGCCTGCGTCAAACGGTTGCTTGCATTTCGAGCAGTTGAAGCATTGGATAATCATCGCTGGGTCCCTGAAAGCAAAACATTAGCAGGAAAGAATGTAGGGGAAGCACGAAGATAGCGGAAAAAACCCGGGGGAACGCGCTTCAACAGACTATTCAAATTTGTTGCTAAATGGAGGCGTGGGGGCGATAAGGCGAACGAGTGCCCCTCCCCCGTCTACCTAGCCTGCCGAGTGCAGCCGACGAATTTGTTCGAAGGGGGAGCCGCCCTTTGGCATAATGATACAATCTACCCTTTCCGCAAACGGGCCAGTTACGGCATAGAGAAAGAAAGATTTTGCTTCTAACTCCCGTCAAACTAGTACTTTGAGAGCCTCTAGGTAAAACGAATTATCGGCGTGGTGACTTGGTTTTCGTATATTTCTCGCCAGTTAATGACAAATTTATTAAGACTATTCCAACAACAACACAACAAGGAAATTGACTACAAGGATGACAAATTCAACAAACTATTAGGGGAAGAGTTCAACACATCGAGACTGAAACAGAGAAACAAGAGATATTATTAAAGGATCCAACAAACGGACAAACAGATAGGAATAAAAACAACAAAATTAAAGTTGGCGGATTGATTCTTTGGACGGAGTGCTTTCGGTGTGCGAGTGCGAGCCAAACTCGGAGGAACTTGAAGAACAGGACGAGGGCGCCCGTGGAGATGGTTGCACAGGCAGAGCGTAGACCCGAGGCTCCCCTTTCGGCGTCAATGGCTGAAGCGTGGAGGTAGAGTGGCTGGTGAGGTTCGAGTTCGACTAAGTTCGGGTAAGACGCGAAAGAAGCTTCTCACCAATTTCTCGCCCGGATACAGCGCAATCCGTGAACACGACCGGGCTCGGTTGGACGGACCAGGGCCGCCGAGGTAGTCCAGACTGCCCTGTACACGTAGAATCGGCTTGGTGTTCCTGAAACGGAATGATCCGGGCATAAATGTTGTTACGCACTTCTTGATCCGGCTGACGGATTGGTCCCAAATCGCCTGCGCAATCTCGGCTGCTACACGCCGCCCCGTACTCTCTGTATGAACCACAGAGCAATGCATCCATCTGGCTAAAGAAAACAAATGTGGATCTTCAAAGTAATCAAATACCATCAGCGCAGTGTTGACGAAATATTCAAACAGTTGATCAGATGGCGATGAGATGCGCACTTGACTGTTTCGTAGAGCAGCGGAAGCCATCGCCATGGTTGCGGGCGTCTAGATCAGATCTCATAATAACTAGAGCAAGCATACCGGTAAAAATTTGGAGGCGCAATACATCCGATAGGCGCGTGACGTCAAGAAAAGGCTGTAGTGCATGGCCATGAACAGCGTGAGGGCGAACAGGATGAGCAACCAAACGTAGAGGAACAGGTAGACTTTCTCGTAGATGTAGCTGGCCGGCATCAGACATTCCACGGCGTTGTAGGGATTGTTCAGCGAGATATCCTCCGTCTTATTGTAGCTGATGAAATGCTGGAAAAAAATTCGTTTTCGAAAAGCAAGCACACCTGTATAGTCTCCGACGGCATGATGCAAAAGACGGCGCGAGGAAACATTAGAGTTTCTTCGCTGGTAGCTGACACCCCATACACGACCTCTTCTAACAACTGGAAGAAAATATGAAGGCATCGAGCCAAAAATACCTCGAAACCCCATCCTAAAGACCAGTTCCCGATGATCCATTGGCAGAGGTAGAACTGGATAAATATGTTGATTACTTGGAGCCACTTCTGGCACACGTAGACGAATAGTGCTATTCGACCATGTAAAACATGGAACCTAAATAAGGAATTGTTTAGAAATCAATCCGAAAGTACCTTTTCGCATTACGCCCAGTAACGTTCAGAAAGAATTCGCAGATTCCGTCGACCTCCCGGGATCGCTCTTCGCCGGTCAAATCTTTGAGGCAGCGCGTCTGGGAGATGATCGAGACGACCTTATTCACTAAGCATTATATATCAAATCTCCCAAAACATTTATTAACCTCCATCAGCCGACAATCCGAAGGTAGTCCAGGCAAACTTGGGCACCGCAAATAGCATCAGTTGCACGATCAAACAATACGGAATCCACTAAACTGGCAGAATGATGGGAACGGCAGAAATCAGACGTACCCGGAAATTCCGGACGAGTAGAGGAACGTGGCTGTGGCCCATAAGATCCGTGTAGGGCCGAGCTCGGTCCCTGACGCCTGCGTAGCTGCTCGAAAGAAAGCATTGTTGGTTCAAGAACTCTTCCCATAATGCTGAAAACAAGATTGGATGAACCACCAAATGCTACTTGGAACTCCAGCGGGAACGATGCACTTCATTGCATCTCCAAAATTCTGGTTAGCCATCGTCAACGCAATAAAGAAGACGAGGATCGCGTTGGTCACCACGCAGTTGAGGATGTCAGAAATGTCGAAGAACGGTGGCAATCGGAAGAAAGACGCCACCGCCCCCATTATACGCATGAGCTTCAGGCTATAAGAAAAATATCTTGCAAAAACTTAATTCACGGTTACAATAACCAACGGGCTCACCCGAATTCTTCATATACGAACCGGGCTGAGAAGCCATGCTATTTAGAACGCGTACTATTATTCAAGTGCAAAAAATTTATTATATTTCTACCGCAAAGAAAAAAACAAGCACGCATATGGCGTCGAGGTGCGGGCTAGCACAAAATTCACAAAACTCAAAGGCACATAGGCCTAGCGGAAAAATTCAATAACACAAAAGAGCACAAAGGGGGAGGAACTAATATTAAACAGATTAGATATCACCACGACTTAATGAGAATTAATCGAGCGGGTTGTCGAGCTGTAAGTTCCGTGCAGGATTGGTGAATTATTAATATTAGTTTCCTTCGTTTGGCGACTAATGCGGCGTGGCTGACGGAGTTGGCGCCGATGAGAGCCAGTTGATGAACTTGTCCATTTTGTCCCGCCCACACAGGTCCTTGGTGTACATGCCGCCGAAGGGCGAAGGCGGGTCCGGGAAGTCGAACATCGGCCTAAGTTCGTTCGTTAAAATTGGCAAAAATAATTCACCTCTGCCCATTGGTAGATTTCGGCGACAGCAAATTGAGCAGTTTCTGGAGGTCCAGCATCTGTGGCTCGCGCTCAAGCCTTCCGCGAGGACTGTAGTGGTAGCTGTCCGCTGGGCTAGAGAGATGGCTACGATTGTGCGAGCCTAATAAAAACACATTATCCGAAAGCGAAAAAACCCTAACCCGAGTGAGGTTTCGTAGCCACCGTTGGGCGGTATGTGCCATTGATGATGGAGAGGTCAATCAGCTGCTTACGCTTCAGCTCATCTTTGCCCTCCGGCTAAACAAGAAAATAAGATATCGCAGAATTATCTACCGGAGGGTTCAGCAGAACGTTGACCTTGTCGATCGCGTACTCCAGCTTCTTCCTGCACACATCTTCGTAGTCCTCACATTGGACAATCACGTTCAGTGGTTCCTGGAAAAATCCATGGCTTAAAAAAGTAAAGATACCGTGCTCTGACCACGTCCGCGGACCATAATTTTGCATCCAGTTTCTTGCTCGAGCTGCCTGGCAGTCATTCCGCGAGGGCCGAGGATGCGGCCGACAAAGTTATACTTGGGGTACTTGTCGACGGGCACGATCAACTTTTCCTGGAGCATGATGCGCTTCGGCAGTTTTTCGGTGCGGCTGCTCTCTGTGGTCATGCTTCCCAGAAAGCGGTTGATCTCTGAAACAAACTACGGTAAATAAGGTTCATAAATAACGATCCGCAAAATTACGCCACAATTTACTTACCGGCCTCGATGAGGCGCGGCAGATGCTTGAAGGGCTGTTCCGGTTTGCCGAGACGAGCACGTTCGCCAAGCAGCTCGGTGACGTACTCAGAGTGTTGGGTGAGCATGGAAGTGTCGTCCTCGGTGGCGGTGTTCTTGTGGCCCGAGGGCTCCTCCGTCTCAGAGGGGCTGCTGCTCATCGACTCCACCGAATGCTGATCGCCTCGCCCGTCCATCGGCTTCAGGTACCGAGCAGCCATCGCAATAGTCGCTGAAAAAGGAAGTTTTTGCAAATGAAAACAGACAAAATCTGGCATATCGAACGGAAAAGCGAAAGAACGAAACGGAAATAACATTTTTTTTAATACCAAAAATCAAAATGATTGGTGTAACCATTTTTCGGAAGTCGATGTTCTCGCCGCCGTTACGGTACCATCCGCGTTTTAGGAAACAGAGTAGAGCAATTCCGAGACCCACCATCCCCCGTCTTCCGTCAGCAGTTCACTCCGGAACGAGCTTTTCGCCAATTTCGCTATTTTGGCGGAGAAGACCAAACTCCAAGTTTTTGAAGCCCGGTAAGCCTAAAAAGGTACATAAAAACGTGTTGGGTTAAACGTGGTGATTTAAACTAAAGGCCTTTTAAGCATTAGGGATGTCTATACGTCAAATTACGACTTTGTTGTGTTTTTCGACATCCTTTTTATGCGACGAAATCATTAGGGGCGCGCAAGGCAGCCGATTGGAGTTTGCGGATCTGTTTTTTCCTACGGGCACTACGGGGATTTAATTTTTCCTAAGCCCCGTACGCTGAACAATGATATAGAGAATATGTTAATACCATTTCTGGGGTTTTTAGATATGTAAAGCATTAGTTTCATAGCATTTTACCTTTTTTAATCTGAAAAGTCATAAAACATAAATTGTGGAATTTTTCGTCGAAATGAAAAATGGTTAAAAATAAAAAGCTGTGGTTTCTCCCTCCAACCTTTTTTTTTCCCCTGTCTATTTAATTTATTTTTAAAAAAAATTGATCAACAATGTCAAAACTAACAACTTTTTTGCCCTAATCTCCCTCAATTTATTAGATTTTCAGACATATTTTTTCCGATACCCACAAACTGTTATCTCGACGATGGTTGTCCACCTCCCTGGAATGCATGCAGAGACGTTTTGTGGTGGTGATGGGCCGACCTTCGCCTCCTCCCCCCCCCCCCCTGGGGTGTCCCATTTCAGGGGCGAGAAACGTGTGAAAATGGGCGCCCTTCTTCTTCAAAATTCCGTCACGAATTCAGCGGCACACTCACACAACTGGCTCCAGTCACTTCTCAACCGGTTCTGCCAATTCTAGTTGGTTTGGGCGCAAGGGCGGCGGTTGAACCGGTCGAACGGTTTTAGCTTTTTTTATCTAAGTTTTTGAAGTTGGGCGGTTAACGTGTTAGGTTTTTAGTTTTTTTAGTTGTTGTTACTTTTAGCTCTACTTTTGCTAATGTGAATAAAATAAACGTTGATATACGAATTTTTCCTATTTCTGAAAGTAAATGCTTTAGAAATTTGCAGTGAAAGCTCTGAAATTCGATTTTTCGAGAAGGTTATGAGTTTTCAAGGGCTCTTATTTTTTATTTTTCTTTAGATGGTCTTATTCACTTAAAATATAGCTAAAGTTTGTTAAAAGTTTATGAAATACTTGTAATTTCATTACTAAGCAGACGGGACCTATAAGACAAAAAAGATAGGTTCTCCCTGTTCGAAAGACTCAATAAACATATGTGTTAACTTTTACCAAACTTTTATTGGGACGCTGATCCTTAAATCTAGCTCACCGTCGCTGACAAAGATTGTTCTATAGTTTTTATATATTTTTCTAGCTGTCTCACGCCCTCGCCAAAATAATTGGCTTCACTTTTCTTCCTCTACCAAGCCAAAAACGGAATTTTGACACACGTGGTACCATCAAAATGACCCCGTAGCGGCAAATCGCAAACAATCGGCTTTTTCTGGGCCCGACATCCGTGACTTTGCACCTTTTTGGGCCCTAACCCCGTTTGCATATTTTTGCGGGGAAACGTCTTGAAAGGGCCCTCCTGCTTTCCAATTCGCTCGTGCTGGGCCCGATTCGCAAGATTTCTCCACGCGCTCCTTTCTTTCGTCCTAGCAAGGTTTTTGGAAGTTCCTGCTAGAATTTTTGAGGTGTTGGAGTCGATTAATTTAGGATACCGGCTGGTTTGTGGTCCTTTTAATAGTTCATCTACTGTCAACGGTCACTGTTTTAGACAATTTTATTTTCTAGCGCATTTTTTGAGCACTGCTACAAAATACAGAAACGTTACTGAACATGCCCGGGGCTATTTTGCTGCCTAAATTCATTTAGTAGTTGCGTTTATTTTAGTGATGCATCTCCAAACGAAGATGTTTTTTTAAATAATTTTATGTTGTGGTGCTTACGCATTATCGGGGGGCTAGGGACACAGCGGGAAACAGCAGTTACAGCTTCATCATAACTACAAAAATTTGGGTACTATACTGCTACCGGGCGGGGGGGGGGAACCAATTACCTCAGGATCCCCCGACCTTCAAAGCATTTCTTGCAGCATTTTGCAGAGTTTAGGTCTAAAAATCATTTAAGAATTATGCCAATGTTCCGAAATGTTGAATTTCTAGGCAGGAATATAAGCCCCGATAACATTCCAGCACCAAAATTGCCACATTTTCTTACTTGCTACCCAATAAACCAAGACTTCAAATACTTTAATAGTTTTGTAAGGTTTTTGTATCCAAAAAGGGCGTGAGCGGTTAAAATAGATCATTGTTCATCATATAGCGCTTTGGAATTATGTTTTAATTCCCATTTTTCCGTTTTACGAAAGCCCCTTCTAGCCAGTACGTGCCATTGCACCCGCGCACCTTGATGCAATTTGCCCATTCTCCCAAATCTTTGCAGCCCATCTAAGGGAAGGAGGACATTGACGCGGCAGAAGGGAAGAGCCTATTTTAGAATGCGTAAATAGCGGATGAATGCGTACTTCCCCCTCCTCGGCGATCGTTGTTGACCTTTTTTGTAATTAGGCCGCAATAGGCTTACCGGCTCGGGGCTATTTTCCTGGTGGGCAGCTAGAGATTTGGCTTGACCGGCCGGCTGGTGTTGATGTATTAGCGGGGGGGGCTAGTTTTCTGTTATTTACAACTATTTTGGTAGCATTTTAACTGCTATTTAGATAAAAACTTTATTAGTATTATTAAAATCCTTGAAAAACGTTGATTTTATGATAATTTACATTAGAAATGATGTTATGATGCTTAGAACCGATCAAAAATGTCACAATTTTGGTACTGGACTCTTAACGGGGGACGAATACATGTGACCAAAAATTCAAAAATTTAAAAAATTGCTTGAGTTTTTACCGAAAATTTTTGATTTTTTGAGCAAAAAATTGGAATTTTTCAATTTTAGCCATCGGAAACTGCAAAAATTGATAAAAATTGTTTCTATGTTGTTACTATAGAGGTTAGGCTGATTAAAAGTAGATAAATCCCCCCTGTTAATGCACCAGAATCGGCCGACGAGCCGCCGGGGGAACCCAATAAAGTGCTAATTCCTTGGGGGATTAGATGGAAGCGGATTGGGTCTGGCCGACGCCATTCCTTCTGACCGCTGTCTTTGATAGGAAACCCTGACGCGGTCTAGGCCATCCATTTTTTAGTTTTTTGAACTTTCGACAACTGCTTTCGGGTCATTTTGCGCCTGAAAAATTTCGAGGGGTCTGATAAGACGAGGAACGCCGCTTGCTACGGCGGAAAACTTTTTATTTTTTCTTTTACGTCGGGTTCTAATCGTTTTTATAAGTTTTCAATAGAGGTTTTGCGCGTAAAAAAACGGGTTCCGTACGGCTTTTAAAAGTTTTTAGTTGTTAGGGACGTTTCAAACGCTGGAATACCTTCAAAAATTAGACATTTAACCTTTGTATTGCATTTTTCATACATTTTTGATCAAAAATGTTTTTCTCTTTCGAATCAATTTTCGAAAATTTTATAGGTTTTTAGAAGGCTTTTTGCAATCTAAAACTGCGTAGAATGCGATAAAAAGGCTTTTATAACAGTTCGGGTTTCCTGGAGCAGAATTGCACCCCCCCCCCGCTAAAGGAGAAGCACCCGCATTAATAGTTAAATTAGGTTTTTGACGATTTTAATGACTTTTTTACAAATTTTCTACTTGATAAAATGGATAAAGAGACGTAAAACCCTTTTAAATGGTTTGTATTTTACTTTTGGGTGTCTACGGTAAGCTAAGGAAAAAGCTAGATCACTCGGCTAACCCCCCTTTAACGAATTAGTACCATTTTTAAAACTTTTTTGTAACTTTTATATAGCCAAACCCAGTTTTATAGTTTCAGTAACTTTTTGTAACTTTTCTAATACCCCTTCCCCGCTAATGGATCAGTACCAATTTTCGGTTTCGTCGGTCGGGCCAGATCTCCACTTGATGCAATTTTTTTCGAAATCCAGGGCTTTTTGTGACGAAAAAGAGATAGACTTCGCTTTGAAAACGACGTCATTTCCCGGGTAGCTTTTCGGTCTCCCTTTTTGCGGTGATAATTGTGACATATGGGGGGTAGAAAGAGAGCGTTGTCTTTATACTTTCACAAGTCTCCATTCCAACTTGCACAAGTGTCAGGTGTCCCGCAACGGACGGGGATACTGGCCTCTTCGACCCCTCAAAAGTTGTCATCACCCTCCCCCATCCTCCATGCATCGCCAAGGAGCATCAGCCTTTTGGCCGGGCTCTTTCTCCTAATCGACGGTTCTTGACTTTTAGCGGGGGGGGGGGTATATTCCATAACTCGAGCTAACTAAATTTTCTTTGATTACTAAAAATCATTTTGGAACATTTTAAAGGTGGAAATTTTGGCTGTATATTTTATTCGGGGGCTTTAAAAATGGATATAAAATTAATTTAGAAGGTATCAAATTCCAAAAACGTGTTCTTAAAATAAAAAATTTAATTTTGGACAATTTTTCTAACTATTGCCCGAAAAAATCGAAATGTTTCGAAAATTTGCCTGATTTTACTTTCTATGTTAAAGACTGGCTTAAGAGACGAATATTGGCCAAATCCCCTCCCCCCGCTAACAGACCAGCACCCAATTTACCTCTAACGCCCGAGCATTTTTATTAGATTGTGATGCCGTAATTTAGTTTCCAGGAGATAAGATTAGCGATATTTTCGGGGATTGCCAGCCGCGGAACTTGTAATTTCTGGGAAAATCCGGTTTTTACATTTTACAGTACCCCTACGAAAGCAATTTCGGAGGTATTGGCTAACTTTTGATTTATTCCATCCCCCGCGCTTCCTTAGCTATTGATAGTTATCGCCACCGGACATCATCTGGGGATTTCTAGCCAAGAAAAAGGTTCCGTTGCTTTCCGATTTCCATTTTTTTGCAGAAATTTGGGTAAAGAATAGATTTTGTATTGAAAATTGGGTACTTCCGGGCAGTTTATGCATAAAATTTCATCTAGATTTTAAAAAATGGAATTTTCGCACATAAAAATTGGTCAAGAAAAAGATATTCTAGGTTCTTTTGCATTATCGGGGGACACCTGTTCCCTAGTATCGAATTTTTCTAATATAATTTTCAAGTGTTTTTACTATCCCTAATAAACGTAAAAAAAACTCGAAAATTTGCATTAAAAATATGTATCGATGTCGATGTCGATGAAAATATCGACATTTTCTACTTTTAGATAGGCTTTCTACCTTAAATATAGTTACATTTTCTAAAAACACTATTAAAATAGTTACTTATACGTTACGAGACATTTCTAGACGAGATACGAAAAAAATTCGGTTCCCCCCTCCGATAATGCAAAAGAACCGTGCTTTTATACTGTTTTTTTCGGATAATAACTTCTCTGCTCCCCTTTGTCAATAAATGATGAAAAACTGGTGGGAAGCCAAAAGAAGAGAAAATGGGGGCCCTTCAGATGACGACTTTTGGTCCGTTGGCTTCGGGGGGCACTTGTGAATGGCGTTTTTTGGGGGCGTTTCCGCTTCTTTGCCCCCCTTTTTCCTTTTAGACATCTTAATGAAAAAGGTGGCTGGGGTTGAGTTTTACGCACGGGGAAAGATTGCGCGTAAGCCCATTCTGATGACAACAATTCTGATCTCCGGGACCGCGTCTTTTTTTGGCGGGTTTTCTGCAAAAAATCGAAAATAATTGTGTTTGAAATTGGTTTTATAGAATTTTATCTTTATTTTTATACATATATAGATTTTTCCTACATTCCATTAAAATTTTAGCAATTTTTCACCGTCGTTATCATTTTTATTGATTATCGTAGGCTGGAATCATTAAAAATTCCCCGTGTTTTAAACTTGTTTTATGAGTTTTTGAGCTGGTTATGCTTGAAATCAATTTTATGGAATTTTATATATGCATTAAAAATGCTAGTAATTTTAACCAGTTCTTTTATTTTTCTCGAAACGTCGGACGATGAAATGTCTTGTAAAACAACCCCGAAAAGCCTAATTTTCATGTAACTGTAACTTTTTATTTTCGAGCTGCAATTTTTTTCTGGGTCGAATGACAATTTGGTTAAATCGAAATAAAATGAAGTGTCTAGATTTTTCTAAATATCGCAAAGCGGCTTTTTAACGGTTTTATTAAAAATACACAAAATTATCGAGTTTTCGACCAAATTTTGTAATTTTTTAGCTAGTTTTTCGACCTGAAATGTAGTTAAATTTTACTAAAAAATCTATTAAAATTATTACTATTGACGTTACTATGCATTTATGGACCTATGGGAAAAATTACCCCCCGTGATGCGGAAGAACCGTTGAATCGGCGAAAGCCAGAAGAAGTTTGGTGCCACGCCGAGGTCGAAATGACGACCAAGGGAGAAATTAGGGGAAGGTTGGGGCCACTTTTAGCGGGACTGGCCGTTCCCTCTAGGGGCCTCTCTTTGTAAGGGCTATGGCTATGGCTAACGAATCGCCATTTCCGCTCCTCCCCCTTATTTAGCCCCCTACCTCACATGTCTGACTAAGAATGAAGGCAAGTAGACCGAAAAAAAGGTCTGGGACACACGCGTTTGTCCAGAAATTTTCGGGGACTTGTCTGTTTGCGGGGGGGGCTATTTAGCATATATCTACCTAAGCGTTTTCAGCGTTTCATCATTCATTTCTATAATTTTAGCAGTTTTGATTGCGCAAACGTCCTAAAATGGGTTTTTTGAAACTAGTTCAAAATTTAAATTTTTAACCATTTCTTACTTTTTTGGCAAAAATTATCGAATTTCGTGAATTATAAAAACTTATTTTCAAGTTTCTAGGCTTAAAGGCGGCCTAAAAATTATACAAAATTTAGGTATTTTATTGTTGGGCCCTCGGGGGCAAAACTATTTGCCCCCCCCCCCCGCTAAAACACCAGAACGCCCTTTTCCGCAATGACATTTCCATGTTCCCTGGAAGCATGAAAAATTTATCGCGCGATGCTCGTCGTTTATTCACCTTTTTCACGCCCACCTGGTGATCTTTGTTAACGTTAAAAACACATTTTTGTGGGTTTTCCACAACCATTCCTGCTAGCCTACCTTGTTGATATTGTCCGATGCTTTTCCATTATCGGGGGGGGGGATAACTTTTTCCTAGTATCAAAAATTTACAAGGAATATCGTTTTTCCGACGAATTATTTACGTTTTTTTGCCGAAAATTTCGATTTTTAGAAACTTTTTAAGTTTTAGATAATTTTACATTGAATATAGATAAAGTTTACGCAAAAAAACGCAGTAAAATACTTACGATTACGTTAATTTGAATTTCTGGACATATAGAGAAAAATCCGCGATGCGATGGAACCGAATAAAACGCTTTTTTTTCTAGGAATCCTCTTTTCCCAAAGTTTCTCTGCTAGATTGCCGTGGTGATTTTGATATGACGACCAAGTGAATTTTGATAAGATTGCATATTTTGTATAGCTTTTCTTTAGCTTTTGTTGAACGAACAAACGAAAGTAATGACGTCTTTTGTTTTCAGGATGGAAGACGACAGTTCAGGGCACAACTATTCAAGCGGCTTCTTCTCCGCCAGCTCCTCCTCTATCATCATCATGGTATTCACAGCCACTGAGCGGTGAAGATTGGCTGGCTGGTGGATCTCTTGTCTGTTTCGCCCTCCTCTTCATTCCATTGTACGCCCTCGTCGCGGCCACCATGTTCAAGCACGATCGGGTTCGTTGATTTTTCAGCAAAAATTGTTCAAAATAAAAATGTTATTGGCTAGTTAAGATTATTTTATGGGTTTTTTGTTGGAATTTTGAAGCGTTTTGAGCCCCAGATACTTATCAAAACGAATCCGCAATTTCTTGTCAAAACGGGTTCAAAATCTCGGTGCTTTTGCATTAGCGAGGTTTGTTTAGGATCCAATTTTTCTAGGATAACTAGATGAGGTCTTTCTAACTACGTTTTGTATTCCAAAGCGTAAAAAAACTATTAAGTTTCATTAAAAATACACCAATATCGATTTTTCGATCAGAATGGCCGATTTTCCTCGGTGTTTCAGATAGTTTTTCCATTTGAAATATGGTTAAATCTCACTAAAAACCTCATAAAAACGCTTATTATTAGGCTACGAGGCATTTCTGGACTTCTAGGGAAAAATAATTATAGGGCAAAAATAGGTATGCGAAACTGACCGCAAAGCCTTTCAGGAAGTGGTCGGATTTCGTTTCCTATTCTCGTCATCGGTGGCTGACATTCTTCTTCTTGTCAACTATTCGCTATGGCCGGGGATAACGATACTTTGCAAATCGGAGATTATCGCCCCGTGGATGCGTCATTGGTTTCAGGTCCGTCATTTTCACGCATAACTTTTACAAAAGATCTTTAAAACCTAAAGACCTTCAAAATCAACCAGAATCGATCAGAAACTTGCCGTTTTTCTAAATTTTCGAATTGGTAGTGAAAAGTTTGTCAACTTTTCAAATCGTTTTAAAATTTGATTAAATTAGTCCTCAAGTCCTCGGGTCCACCCAAAATCCGGTTGTATTCCACCTGGATTTGGGGTGGAACGCATGGAAATCGGCTGGATTTCGGGTGGACGCACCGGGAATCGAGTGGAAAGACGACGCAACGCGTGCCGCATGCGACGCGGCAAATGGAAATCGAGTGGAAACCGGGCGGATCCGGTCGATTTCCAACTGTTTACCGTGCATCCACCCGCACCGGTGTTTCCACGTGGATCCGGTCGCGTCCGCCTGGATTCCGATCGTGTCGCGGCAGTGCCGACCGGATTTCGGGTGGACCCGAGGACCTGAGTCGTGGCTTTAATTCGCGATTAGTAATAAATAGTTTCTAATGGGATAATTTTAAAACCATTTAATAAAACTAAAGGCCTTTCCTAGGGTTTGGATTTTAGGCTAAGCTAGTGGAAAATAAATTATTTTATCTAACGGTAAGCTAGCAAAGACTATTGTGGAATTCTAAGGGCTCTCTTTCAGATGTACATGGACTGGGTGTGGTTCTCGATGTGTTATCACTACATGATCGTTGCCTGGTCCCGATTTGCGGCCATTCGGTCTCCGCTCACATTTCGGGCACAACCGCGCGTCTTTTCTTATGGGTTATGCGGGGCTTGCTACGTGCTTTCCTTGATACAGGTGAGGTTTTTGGGACTGGGCTGTTAGCGGGGGGCTATCTAGCTTATATTTACCTAGAAAGAGCTCTTTAAAAGCGTAGGGCTTTAAACTGTAGTTGTATACTGTTTTTAGTAGTTTTTGATTACTAAAAAAATCATGAAAACCGTTTAAAGCGTGTGAAATTTCATAATTTTAACGATTTCTATACGTTTTTTGGACGAAATTTTATATTTTTTGATTACTGAAAACCATCAAAACCTTTTAAAACGTGTGAAAGTTCATAATTTTAAAGATTTCTATTTATTTTTGGGATTTATTTTTGGTTTATCGATACCTAAAAACCGCATAAAAACTATATAAATGGTGAAATAAGGAAACGCCAAATTTAACCCCCCGCTAACAGTCCAGTACCTGGTTTTTGGCAGGCTAGCAAAGCTTCTTTGCGGATTCACTCAAATTGTTTAAAAAAGGAAGGTCTTCAATTTCCAGGTGCTTTGTACGCATTTCCAACCGTGGTATGTGACGTTTTACTACGAGCCCGCCGCGTACGGGATGCTTTCTGAGGTTTGTCGGCATTTTATATACTTTTATGCCATTTTAATACAGGATTTCGAAAAGTACATGCGTGACGGGCAATCGTTGATGTTTCTCACTTTTCACACCCTCATGGTCATCATCCCCTTCTATTTTTATGTGTAAGTGTTTTGAGTATGAATTCGGGGGTGCTTTTGCATTAGTGGGGGGGTCGAATTGTTTTCTATAAGTCCATAAAGTCTAGTACCTTAAAAGTATATCTTTAGCAGTGTTTTTAACAAAAATTTCCCAAGGTTTCGATGGAAACGCTATCTCCACAACTTTGAAAATATTTGACGATTCGAGATTTTGGTCGAAATGAGCGATTTTTGCCCGAATAAACCGATATTTTTGGTATTTTTCCAGAATTGTACAGTTTTGACGTATTTATTTCGAAACGCTTCCTTTATTTTATTAGAAAAATGGAATACGAATGAAACCCCCCCCCCCGATAATGGAAAAGCTTTCCCTTTTTCTAGTAATAAATTTAATTTCTTTTTTTTCCGAAATTATCCACTTTTCAGCCGAGCCATCTACCTACTCCTCCAACACCGGCAGAATTCGATGGGTGGCCAGTCGGTGCTCGATTCTTCGGTCGAAAGCAGGTGAGCACGAGGTTTTGGAACACTTTTGATGTGTTTAACTGATTATGCATTTTGAGCCTCACCTTTCAGACTAATAATTCCGTGCATTTGCAACACGGTGGTGTTCATCGTCGGCCAGGTGGTGATCACGATGGGAACTGGCGAAGGGAAATGGGCAACGTATATGGTGAGGCATTTTGGGCAAGCTAGCAAAGATTATTTGCCTTATTTCGAGTCGTAATTCCAGGTGCTGCTCCTATTCTCGGCAAATTCGGCCGTCAACCCGGTGCTATTGCTCGCATTTTCGGCCACTATCAGGTAGGCAAACGGCAGTACCTATGGAAAGATATTTGGATCTTTTGCATTATTGGGGGGGAGCAGTGACGGTTTTTTGCCAAATTTAGTAAGATTTAGCTATATTTAAAGCGAAAAACTATCCAAAAAAACTAAAAAATTCTTAAACTTGGCGCTTTCGTCGCAGTATCTATATTTTTGTATTTTTAAATAAGAATTTGTAAAGTTTTTGCATTAATCGTAGTATATTCTTTCTAGACTACAAGTATTAATCTTAATAAAATTAAAAAAATAATTAAATGTTAAATAACAATTAAATAAAATATCTATATTTTTTCGACCAAAAATTGCCGATTTCTTATTTACTTTCTTACTTTATTTTCAAAGTTTCAGAACTTTTTAGATAGGTTTTCGACTTGAAAGATAGTAGGCCTGGGGGAAAGGGCGCATGAATAGTAGCCTTGGGATAGAAAAGGGGCTCTGGGGGTAAACCCAATTAATACCAACCGATAAATTTCAGGCGTCGTATGCTGGCCCAGCTGGGGGCCGAGGGATTGGAGAAGCTCCGTAAATACACGCCCGCCCCACTGCTAAGGTTATACAATATGACAACAGAATTGACGATGAATTATCCGTCTTCAGGGATTTCCCGTATCCACAAACAATACCACGATCAATGGTCGATCTCCGGAGGGCTGATGCCGAAATCACGACAAATAATCAGGAATCAGATTCGGGTCAGAGAAGTCCTCACTCGTTTTGAGGCATCAAAGCATAAGATTACCACTATTAACACCTATTAACACTCCAATTTTAACAATGTCGAAATTAATAATACCGAAATTTACTAATGACGAAATTTGTCGATGTTGATGCCGAAATTTACCATCGTAGAAATCTATTGCACTTTGCCATTATCGGGGGGAACCAACTTTTTCTTTAGTACCCAATTTTTAATACTATCCATAACGGAAGTGTTTTTGATCTGTTTCTTTTCTAAACCCAAAAACTGCAACAAAATTGAGTCGAAAATACAACAATATCGATTTTCCGAACCAGAAATGGCCGTTTTCGATAAAAATTTCAAATGTTTCAAAACTGAAATTGTATTTTTCGCCCGAAATAGCGCTAAATTTTACTCGAAGCGCTATAAAAATACTTACTACTACGTTAATAGGCCTTTCAGGGCTTAGAGAAAAAAAATAGTTTTCCGCCTGATACAACCCCCCCCCGATAATGCGAATGCGCCCCCAAATGCTATTCCAAAAATTCCGCGAGTTCGAGATTTTGGAGCTTTCACATTATGAAATTTCGGCATTCTGATAGCTAATTCTTTACCCAGATATTTTTGAGATTTTTTTAAAGGAGCCGTCAAGGCACTATCGATTTTTGATTTTCGGGTTTTCGGCATCCGCGACATGCAACGCGTTTAGCCGCTGTTAAATTGCGTAATGGTTTTTATGTTTTTGCACGCGGCAATCGATTACGCCATCTAATGTCGAGCGCGAGCGTCGCGGAAGATTCCATCGAAAATTTGTGACTAAAAATCGATTACCCTGCCTTGAGCGTTCCTTTAATGATTTTCAATCTTTGAGAAACAAAATTCTCGGAGTTTTGGAAAGCTTTTTATTTTTTTATGCTTTTTCGACTCCCATTTTTATGATTTAATTTGTATCGGGTCAACGAATCGGTCATACGGTATATCCATCCCTCCCCTCATTATATTCCGATCTCTCTCTCTCTCTGCACCAATCCACTCCACTTGCTCAACAACTACCAAACAAATTATTCGTGTTTTTTGTGCGTGTCGAGATGAATAAAGTGTGTTGCGATTTTTATTGTTCTTATGATGGCATGATACCGGTACAAGAAAACGATAATTTATACGACCTGAATTACACAGTTCAAAATTTACCCGTGATGTACCAGCATTTTTAGCTTTTTAACCCTGCTGAAGATGATCATCACGTATCGGGCACGCCGCAGATCCTGAAAATTCGTTAAAAACTCCGGAAAAATGTTTAAAGTTTCCATTTTAAGTTCCGTTTTGAACGAATTTTTCATGCTTCACGTAGGAGTAGCTCATTAAATTCAACAGTTTTTATTTTTAGCTTTTTTAAAACTTTTCTTAAAAAGCTCCTAAGTTTTGGCTTTAATGTTAAGCCGTTTAACTAGTTTAAATAGATAGTTTACAGTATCAATTTTTATCCACTTTTCCGATAGTTTCCTCCTGACGTCACCAAACCTCTTTTCCCGATGATCGTTCTTCTTGTGGGCTCGCAGCGAGTTCCGGGCGGGAAAATGCTTTCCGCAATCATCACAGCCGAACAGCTCGCCGTTGTGCGTCCGGATGTGGTCCTGCAGGTTTTAATTCGATTATCAAACCAGTTAAATTATAATTCCTTTCTCGGAAAATTTTTGCATGCAATGAATGGTACCTCAGAAGTTAAAAAATAATGCGCAAAATCTCGTTCGTACGTTTTTTTGGGACATTTTAGCGATCAAATTCTGTAAATCGAGGAAGCGTTTCTAAACTGTTTTTACTATTCCGAAACGGAAAATGTCAGAAACTTTACTTACAAAGTACAAAAATATAAATTTTTCGGCCACATGGCAGATTTGGACCAAGATTTCGACGAATTTTTTTCCTACTAGGCATATATATGGCCTTTTTAAATAATGGTTAGATTTGATAAAAAAGTTAAATAAAAACCATTACATTATATTGGTAATTCTGGCTTTTGGCAAAATAAATTCGGTTCTAATGTATGGTAAGTAAGTTAAATTCAGACAAATTAAAACCAACCGCAAAATGCATGCTGTTCTTGTAGGTGCGATCGCATTGTGGGCACACAAAATGGAGGGGCGATGTGTGACGGGTGGCAATGTGACGGGCCAGGTTGAATGACCGGGAGAACGAGCGGAAGCACGTCTGAAAAATGGTTTTTTGGGAAAATAAGAAGATCGCCGCGAAGCGAAAATCTGCGGAAAATCTCGAAGTACCGAAAAAAATATGAAATAGCCGACAAATTTCGAATTTGATTAAAACTTTGTAAAAATTGTCAAAAACTGCCTTCCAGTTTTTTATATTAATTTTTGAAGTTTTCTAAATATTTTGCGAGTTTTTAATAGTCAAAAACTACCATAAATCCTATAAAAATTCACTAGAAACGCGAGGATTTATCGACAAAATTGCACCCCCCCCCCGGTAATCAACCAGTGCCAAATTTCTGATAATGCTTCTTCCAACCCTATAAAATATCCATGCTGCTAGCTTGTATGTAGAAAGAAAGTTAAAACCTTGAACTTAAAATCCCTAAAATCCCAAATGATCTCTGCTAGCTTGGCAAGCCGGAGATACCCGAAAAAACCAAAACAGAACGGGAAGCAAACGTTTTTCATAAACGATTTGCATAAACCACCGTTTCCGGAATTAGCATAACTTTGTTCATACAAAAATGACTACGCCCAGCGATCCCCCATACATTTCGCGCGTGCCACCCCGCCCCGCCCGAACTCGACGAAGATGTTGTGGGTCTTCTACGAGAGCGTCGCCTTCTTCGCCATCGTCGTCCTGTCGGTCATCGGATGCAAGGGAGGCAAGCAGAAGCCCAAGGCATCCCTAAAGGTATCCTCGCATGGATTTTTATATGGCACTAATTCCCCCCCCCGCTAACAGTTCAGTACTCTTAATGAAATTTTACACGCTAAATTTCGACGTAACGATTAAAAAGCGTTCAGGTCAAGAATGCTGGTGCTAAATCCCCGGCAGCCGCAGGCCCCGGCTCAGTCGCCAAGCCAGCACCCGCTAGCCCTGCCGCTGCCGCCCCGGCCGAGGAGCCGAAGAAGGACGATAAGACACAGGATCAGACAAAGGAGGGAGACAAGAAAGAGGAGGAGAAGAAGGAGGAGGAGAAGAAAGACGGCGACAAGAAGGAGGACGAGAAGAAGGAGGAAGAGAAGAAGGATGGCGACAAGAAGGTACCGTTTTTTTGGTCTAGCTGCCTAAAATCATTAAAAATACATACGCAAACGCAAAAAAAATAATAGTAGTCTCCCCTCGCTAACAGTCCAGTTCAGGAGGAAGAGAAGAAGGATGGGGATAAGAAGGAGGACGAGAAGAAGGAGGGCGACGACAAGAAGGAGGGCGGCTCGAAGAAGGACGAGAAGAAGGAAGGTAAAATTATTTTTAAATTGAATTTAAATGCGTGAAATCAAGAGCATAAACAGTAAACTTTTAAAAATTTCAAACTTAAAAACGGAATTTTCTTGCAAAAATGCGAAAAATGAAACTACATACAAACTACTACTTTCCATTTTATTCTGATTTCTACTGATTTTAGAAGGCGATAAAAAGGAGGGATCAAAAAAGAAAGAAGCCTCTAAGAAAAAGGAGGGTTCGAAGAAGGACGGCTCGAAAAAGGAGGGCTCCAAGAAGGAAGGCTCGAAGAAGGAAGGCTCAAAGAAAGAGGGCTCGAAGAAGGACGAGAAGAAAGATGAGAAGAAGGTGGGGGTTTTTGATTAAAAATTTCCAAAAATTAGATTAAAAATTTTTACATAAATATAGCTGGATTTTACTAAACTTTTTACCCCCCCCCCCCTCACCCCCCCCCCCCCCCTCCGTTCCCCCCCCCCACCCCGCCCCTTCCCCCTGCAATCCTTTATAATTACCATTTTTAGGAGGGTTCTAAGAAAAAGGAAGCCTCTAAGAAGAAAGAAGCCTCCAAGAAGAAGGAAGGCTCAAAGAAGCCCGGCGCCTCGAAGAAGGACAAAAAGGAGGGCAGCACCGATGAGAAGAAATCGGAGGACAAGAAGGACAGCGAGGAGAAGAAGGAGGGCGGAGATGAGGGGGAGAAGAAGGACGACAGTGAGCACGAGTTCTAGATGGGCCTTTTGACGTTGGAATTTTCAGAGGTGAGCGCCACCCCGGCTGAGCTGCAGTGGGAGGAGAAGGGAGACCCACAGACGGTCACCGTCAAAAATGCTGAAGGAGATGATCGGATCGCCATCAAGCCTAAATGCGCCGATAAGGCATTCACGTAAGTGGAAAAGTCGGGGAAGTGATTAATGTAGCTTTTTATGCTGTTTTTTAGCTTAAAAAATTTGATCAAAAGGTTCGAGGATTCCTGATTTTTGCCAAAAATGTGAAATTTTTATGCCTTTTTGGTAGTCGAAAGCTGCTAAAAAGCATAAGGCAGAATATAGGAAGTTCCCCCCCCCCGTTAACGCACTAGAACCTAGGCGGAACCCCTCCAGGGAGGCGGAGCCCAGTTTGAAACTTAAATTTTCTAAAATCCTTTATGGTTTTTCCTAATCAAAAGCTACTAAACGCGGTAGAAAACGTTCAAAATATAGCTAGTAGTCGATCAATACAACCTAAAAACCCGATATTCTAGCCTCGACCCGGCTTCGGCCTTCATCAAGAAGGGCGAAAGCGCCGCCATCAAGGTCACACGTGCCGCCGGACCGGTGAAGCCTGACCGGATCGAGATCCAATGGACGAAGGCCGACGAGAAGGACAAGGACCCCGAGGAGATCTTCAAAAAAGCCGATCTCAAGCCCGCCATCGTCGTCGTCAAGAGCAATGCGTAGGAAAATCACATATCACGGTAAAAATGACTGCCTTGTTCAGAAAGGCCGCCGGCGGTGAGAAGAAGGACGACAAAAAGGAAGAGAAAAAGGACGAAAAGAAGAAGGAGCCATCTGGAAAGGATAAGAAGAAGGAAGAGGAGAAGAAGGACGAGAAGAAAGAAGAGAAGAAGGAGGCCGAGAAAAAGGAGGAGAAGAAAGAGGAAAAGAAGGAGGATGAAAAGAAGGAGGAGAAGAAAGAGGAAGAGAAGAAGGTTCGGAACATAAACCTAAAGATACATAAAAAATCAAATAATTTCAGGAGGAAAAGAAGGAGGACGAGAAGAAGGAGGAGAAAAAGGAAGAGGAAAAGAAGGAGGATAAGAAGGATGAGGAGAAGAAAGAGGAGAAAAAGGAGGAAGAGAAGAAGGTTAAGCAAAAACACAAAAACTGAATAATTTCCAACGCCTTTAGGAGGAAGAGAAGAAGGAGTGAGAAGCCCGTCAACACCACAATGCACCGGAACCCTGGACACCTTCGCCCCCTCTCCCTTGCCTCCACTCTCCACTTCCGATTGATAGTTTTTGTAGAAGAGACTTTTCACTTGCGTCGCCCCTTCAGTTACACACATGCTTGCTCATTGCATCAAGAAAGATTTTGTCCTGCCTCGCCAATAAATGAATGCATCTGGCTTTTGTTGGGATTTTGCACAGTATGGTGGTAGTACGCAACAGTACGAACCTGACATGTATGGGTGGTCGCCTCGCCGATCATGGCGGAAAAGGTTCGCGGGCGCTTCTTGGCTTCGGCGGACCGCTGCTGCTGGGCGTCAAGAACCTTGCGGGTGATTGGGTGCCGTATCTCGCGGATCTGGAATGGAGGCTCGACAATCGTTGATTTTTAAAATGTTTGTGGCAACAAAATTGGCTCTATAATCAGAAGCATTTTAAAGGACAAGTTATCGACTTTCGTTTATCGACGTATAAATCAATCAGATAAAAAGCTAGATAAAGGCTTTTTTTATGCTTTTTCAGTGAGTTTAAACCATAGCATCAGCAAATAAAAGTTAGAAAAGTCGAGATTTTGGACATCCTCGGAAAAATTCAATTTTTCGGCATAAAATTTATATTTTTTTTTTAATTTTAGGAAGCCTTTCTTTCCGAGGAGTCCTTGGTTGAGATTTGGATACCTTGCTTCAGTTATTGATAGTTCATATCGGTTATGGCCGGCTAAAATACCTCAAATCGGTAGAGCCACAAAATTTTAAGGGCCTAACTAGGGCGAATAACACCGATAACTAACCACAGGGATTGAAGTACAGCTACTTTCGACAATGTCGTCGACCGGAACGCTTACAGACGGTTCACCAATCACTTCTTCCTGAAAAGACATTGGAATACGATTCCCAGACGTCGAAAACGTTTGCTGACCAACCTCTTTCCCAATAGCCACCTCCTGCCCGTCGATATACGTACCGCGATTCAGCACAAACGAATCGAGCTGAAAAACTCTGCTAAACCGAAATGTAGACTTACGGCTTCTGAAAAATGCGCAATATCCCCGGTGGATTTGTGGCTGGGGCGCGGGACTACCGGCAAGGCGGAACTCCTAAAAATTCGTCACAACCGCGTCGCTTTGCACCTACCCGGGCAGCAAGCTCAAAAACTGCCCTATGTTTGGGCGGGCGGCCACCGGTAATGCCGCAATGAAGCCCATGATCATGCGGCGAAGCACGGGATCCTGGAGGTTGAGCTCCACTCGACGCGATTCGCCCTGTCTAAAATAATATAAATTTCACCAGAAATTCTAGTAACATTCAGGTTTCGGGCAAAATTTTTTCGACTTTTTGGATAATTTTTTGTCGTTTTCTCTGTTCTTGGGCGTAGATTAGCTTGGCTTATTTCCAGCTTAGCCTATAAGTTGTTGTCAGGTGCTTTTCGTTCATTTTTGGCCAGCGCATAGCAAAATATGAACCTTTAGAAGCTTTTCAGCGGTATTTGAAAGCTGGAATTTGTTCAGAATTTTAAGCTCTATCGAATAAGCTATATCACATCGCAAAACCCTAAAAGCAGCTAAAACGAATCGTTATTAGTGATCGTGAGCTTCGGTATCCCAGCAAAAATTGACTCGTGGCAACCAATTCAAAACCCTACCGACTTCTCCACTCGACATCATAAACTGCTCCGCCCAGGTAGCGCACTCGACACGTGCCATTCCACCGCGAGAACGCGCACTCTACCAAATTTCGAGGCTTCATCTTCAAAACCTGAATTACCCCCGCCAAATCCAGACCCCTGGTAACGGTGTGCGCGGATATAACATTGCTCTCCGGGTCAACAAAACTTTATAGAATCTTTATCATTGCAGGTGGACAACGGGGAAAAGAGAGATAATGACGGGGACAAAACAATTTGTGTCGTGAAACAATTTGGTTACGGGAAGGACCGGGAGACCCATTATAGCTGTAGATACGGGGAGGAGAGCTGAAGGTGTGGATTTAGTCACTACATGTGCGTTTATTTAGCGGCTATCACAGAAACACCGTGCAACATGATATATATTCGTCGAGCCCCAGGGTTCCATCCAGGGAGCGAGAAATGCCGACAAGGCACAAACTTGCAAAACAACAACACGGGAAAGTGGAAGGAGGGGTGGTTGTAGGAAAGATCCTGAAAACACGGGGCGGACGCTCAACGGGAGGCGAATCTGTTAGCAATAAGATCAGCCGGGGTTTCCTAGGAATCAATGACCCGAGTGGGAAGGAGAACGGGGAGGGGGGCTGCTAATAGTAATGTAACTGGAAAGGAAGTGATTATTTAGGTTGGGTGATCCAAAGGGCGCTAAAAAACCTAAAAAGCTTAAAGGATCTTGCCCTAAAACAGCGTTTCCGGGCGTTTGATCTGATTAGACAGAATTCAGGATTTTTAGATTAGAAAACCTTAACCGTAGACTACAAACTAAAAAAAGCCGACGCTGGAAACGTTTCTGTGCATTTTAGTACCCTTTGTCTTTCTGTAGCGTGTGAGTTACGCGTTTTTATTCTAAAAATGTGAAGAAAAAAACTGGCTGAAAACTTTCTAAACTCATCACGCAAGATCTTTTAGCGCCCGGGAACCATCCAACCTAAATACCTCCAAAAAAGCAACTACGCGATGAAAAGTGTAGCAAGCAGGGGTGGTGGGTGAGCGCGGCTCGATTCACCACTCGGCCTCGCCCTGACATTTCTGGAAGCAGTAGTCCTTGCCCTTGATGCGCATGATGCCGTCCTTCAGGTTGAACTTCCACTTCTGGCGAGCACGACCGACCTGGAACAAAATGTTTTGTGCTAAACAAACACCAGAACCTTCTCGAACTGGCAGATGATGATGTCCTCAGCAGCGAAGAGGGTCACCACATCCTCGTCGTCACTCTGGTCATCGTTAGAGTTGAGCGGATCGTCGCCGTCGGCTCCCGCATCATCATCTTCCTTCTCTTCGGCGGGTTCGGCGAGACGTTGCAGATCATCTTCTTCCTGGAAACAAAAATGATAGTGTTGCGTAAAAGGTAAACGTAAAACCCACAAAATTTACGCGCGGAAACCGCTAGGACGACACCGTTCAAAAGCTGGCGATTACGATAGAAATTTCCGAGCATAAAAGCCAAAAATTTTAATATTTTGAATGCTCTTTTATTTAAAAACAGTTTGTGGTTCCCTAAAAACTAGCAACTAGATAAAATTTAGAAGTCGATAAAAACCAAATAACAACACAAGGAAGCAAACAGACATCAACTGAACAAGAAAGGTATAGAAAAATATTCACCTCTTCACCACTGGAACTATCGGTCATGCCGCCGCCATTGCCATCTACTTGGACGACACCCTTCAGTCCCTTCAGCAACTGCTTCAGCTCCTTGCCCTTGATTCGACGCGGTTTCGGCAGGGCGGCAGCGCTTCGCAATTTCAGTTCTGGGCGCTTGAGGCTGGGGCCGGGGAGGCTAGCATCAGGCTCGTCCTGAAAAGCGCGAATGATACGGTGTGACTAAAATCACGTAAAAAATAATCCTTTCGCAGCTCTAAGCAAACTAACCTCAGAATCCCCTTGTCCATCCAGCTGATGGACTTGATCAGGCTGTGCGGGCTGTTGTTGCAGAAAAACGCGGCCGTTGCCCATCAATTGACCTCAAAAGGGAATGAGTATCCCGTAAAAAAATCCGATACCTGGCAACACCATCGGCATCGGCTGCTGCATTCCAGGGCCGCCGTTTTGAATGAGGAATGGCTGGCTGTTGGTTTGGACGAGGCGAAACTGTGGAGGGATCTGCTGCAGGTTGATGCCCTGGAAGACGAGGGATTGCAGGAGGTCGTTTCACGATGATAAATGAGTTTGATAGATGCGACATAACTCATTCGATAGAGTCTAAAATTCTGAACGACCCCAACTTTTTGAGAACGATAACGGTGTTCGAGAAAAGAAATCTTTTTCGCATTGAAAAACGAGGGTGAAAAATGGACAAAAACAGCTTTTTCGAAGCGCATCTTGAAGGCCGCATTTGCAAGGTCGGGCTTGTTCAGAATTTCAAACCCCCATGGAATGATCTATATCACATAGCAAAAGACCTCTCGCCTAGTATTATCTTCTTAGAAAAAAAACAGACCTGTTGCTGAGTGAAATGATGGAGCTGCTGTGGCTGCTGATTCGGCTGTCCCATGTAGATCGGCTGGGTCGCTGGGATGCGTTGTGGCGGGGGCTGGCCGTGGTCCAGATTGTGCGTCAGCAATTGAGGCTGACCCATCTAAAACAACATATATAAATATATAAAGAAAAATCCACACCGAGACAGCCATCGGGGGCGCCCGATTGACGAACTGGTTGATGGCCTGCGCTTTTGCTTCCGTGTACTAAAAAAATAGCAGTTTTCGGAGGACCAAAAAAACCTGTTGCGACGGCTGGGCTTGCGGGCGCATGGTGGGCGCGAAATGCTGTTGCTGTTGCTGTTGCACGGGTCGCGCGGGCTGGGTCCTTGGCTGCACGGGGACCATCTAAAATCATTTAATCGATCTATTCGAACAGCGAACCTGAACGGGATTCTTCGGCCCATCGTAGTCAACGCCGCCATCGCTGCGCACGCGGTCTTCCCATTCCTGCAAAAAAATGTTATGAAAATACAAATCGTCCGGCTACATTACAAAAAGATCCATGCAATTGGGGCACGCGGAATAAACGCCAAAAAATTTCGCGCAGACTCCGGACTTTTTCGCATCGCTTGAAAATCATCTAACAAGGAAGAGTCCTTTTAGGTCATTATGTTTTTAGGATGTGACCAGGGTTGAAAAGCCGCTTCGCGACTTTTCAACCCCTGGCCCCGTCCAACCCGATGATATCCCTCGCTTTGCATAAACCTTGCGCATTGTTATGTCAAAAAAAGGATAGCGCGTCCTACCCCGATTATATAGGCTACTCTCATTTCCGGTATATTCTAATTTTTCCTAACAAAGAGGATGTCCGATTTTCTACGGAAAAACTTAATTTTAGTATCGAAAACAATCGATTTTGAAAAATCTTATATGCGTGCAGTCATCTACAGGCCATTACGCATCTAATGACGTATCGTACGCCTCCTTCATCCCTTCCCCTCTTGAGATATCCTCCGGACACGCTGACGGAAGTTGCATGCAAAGTGGCACACACACACACACACACAGACACTATTTTTTTATATATAGTAGGATATAGCTCATCCGGAAGAGCTTGAAATTATAAACATTGCGAGCGTTCGAAAACATAAACGACAACAGTCTCCGTGAAAAAGGTCACTCAAAGGTCATTATTAACTTTTTGGCTTAGCGAAAATGTGGAATTTGTGGACCCATTTCACGTAGACCGCCATAGTTCAGTGGTTTTGAAACAAGGCATCCTACTCAAAATTGCAAACTCTATCGAACGTGCCCGACCAAGATTGCAAAAATCCATCCATTACACCCAAAACCGGCCCCTGGTCGGCCACGTAAATGCAGCTGTGTTCCCAGGGCAAGGCAGCACCTGCTTGAGCGTCTGCAGCACGTCGATGTCAATGTTCTCGTCCAGGAAGCTGTCCTTCATCTGGCTGATCACATCGTTGATGACGGCTCTGTAGATGTCGGCCACCGTCTGGCTGGTGCTGCCACCGCCGTGACTCATCGCGTTCTGAGGTTCTATAATACAAAATAATTAAAAAACAGTCCAGAGTTATCGGGAAATTTTATAAAAACTTCAAAATTTGCCGAAATTTCGGCGGAATTTTTTGGGGATTTTCGGTTCCGCGCGATTTCTATTGACGATATTTTGTGGTTAGGTGTTGTACGTAGCAAGGCAAAACTTTTTTCAAAAGTTGGAATTGAAAATTTCTTTGTTTCAACTTATAAAAACGCGAGTGAACAATATTATTTTGTTTTGAGAATAGCTTTTGATTTGAACGTCATCCTTCCACTGTTTTCGATTTCCATTATTCAGGCGGCCGCGTCGCGTATGAAAGCGGGATTTTCGAAAATCATGTAAACGCTTTTCTAAGTATTTATAACCGATTTAACCTATCAAAAGCGTTTTGTAATCATAATCGTGAAGAGTTTAGGCTATATTGCCTGATCGGTAACTCAAATCCTTGCATTTCCACCGATTTCGGCTTTAAAATCTACCGAAACAACGGGATTTTTGGCAAATCTGTTTTTTTCAGACGTTCCTCTATCACTCCGTGGGGCCTTGATGCCGTTTTGGGCCCTAATGGCGATAAGTAAGCGACTCACCGGGGCCCGGGATCCGCGAGGTCGACTGCCGGACGACGGAGTATTTATACGACTGGACCCGGTCGCCCCGCGCCAGGCCCCATTCACCCTGCTGCGTCGCGAAGGGCGGCTTTTCGAAGTGGATGGACAGACTACAACGGCTTAGAAATGATTGAATGGGCTGTTTGAACCGGGGTTGCCGCCAGAGGAACTGAGAATAGAGATATTCATAAGCGGCAAAAGAAAGAAGATAGGGATAGTAAGCGGCGTAAGCTACCTTTCTCTTTTACGAGTGGCTTGAAAAGGGATTGGTAAAGTTCGAAAATTGTCTACGGCGTACCATATTTTTTCCTATGTTTGTAATTGTCAAAATGGCTTATTATGCAATTGGTTCTTTAATTCTTTCCAATGACTAGCTGGCGCCTTGTAGGAAAAACGAAATTTAATCGATACAGATTTTATTCGATGCGTTTCTGGTTCTCACGCTCATTTCTCTGATTTTTCGTGAAAATTTACCAGCTTACCAATGCCCATTTTCAGGTGATGCGCGGCGGATATCGAGGCGGTTTCCGCGGCGGGCCACCGGGACCTGGGCCTGTTGGACCGATGGGACCGATGGGCCCACCTGGTATTGCATTAAAATCGGCTTTTATAATTTTTCTTAGGCCCTCACATGGCCGGCCCACCCGGCCCTCCAGGACCAGGCGCGCCACCCGCATTTATGCCTCCACAACCACCTTTCGATCTCGTCTCGGCTTCCGACTACTTTCACAAGAACAATGACAACCACGAGGTTGAGCTTACGGCGGTGAGTTATCCGCTAAATGACTTTTCGGTGCTTCCCATTCCCGTACAAGAACTAAAAATTAGGATACCGTTTACTGAGAAACCGGGAAAATCAGTAGTTTTTGCTCAGTTTCGACCAGATTTCATCAGTTTCATCGTCCGGAATAAGGAGACCTTGAATGGACCTTGAAGCACCTACTTTTTTGAATGGATTCACTTGCACCTCCTTCTCCAGAAAAGAAATATCGCATTCTATTGAACCTTTTAGGAAATCGTGAATCGGGCCAGCAAATTGACGCCAAATGAGGTGGAGCGTGGCCATTTGCAGAACTGTCTCACGAGAACGATGGCCGCCCTTCAAAAGTTCAGAAATGACAATCTGGTGCCAGACGTGGTATGCTTTCCCTTCTGGCTGAATCACTTGTTTTTAGTTGATAGAGGAATACATGGAAGTCGGCTCGCACAAAAAGGATACGATTCTCGCTGGCCACAAGAGTCTCGACATTGTTGTCGTGATGAAGTCCATGCCAAAAAGTATCGTATTTTGTTTGCATCACATTTATTTTCAGTCGAGTCTGTCCATCTTCTCGGGCAAAAGGTTGGCGAGTTGTTGCGGGCCGAGAAAGAAAGTGAGCAATTTTTTTCTAGCTGTTTCACGTAAAATCCGCTTCACAGCGTCAATTTCTTTTCCGTATTCTCACAAGGATACAAGTCGACAGTTTTTTAGTGACAATCGGGTTTCCTCACTAGGCGGGACTTATCTTACGCCGAATTTTGCCCTGATTCTGAATCTGGTTGCACAATCAGGTCGACCAGATAAAACAAAAAGGGACTTTTAGGCGAGGAAAAGAGAAAAATGGCCCGCTTTCGAGAATTTTGGTCTTTCTTGCACTAAAAGCTTCATAACTTCCTTATCTGGTCGTTTTCCAGGTTTTGAAGCCGGATTCGAAATCATCTAAATTTCTGAACAAGTTGGGGGGAACTCGATTCTCGCTAAAAAAGGTCTCCTTGTCAGCCTAAGTAGAAAAGACGGATGAAATCAGTTTTAGACAAAGACGGAAATTAATCTTCTCTCGTCCAATTTTTCGTTTTCAGTAATATCGGTGCAGTCTCGCGACTTTGGTTGTCTGATCAGCTTCACAAGCATCGGCGTCCGGGTCAACCTTCTAATCGCCACCATCGCAGCCAATGCGCCAAAACTCGAGGAGGGATTGCACAGTACGTTTCGTTTATTCAAAATGTGACAACAGGCAACGGGCGGATTGTGTCAAATCATTTATTCCAAGAACCGAACACAAAGCTTAGCTATGAAGGACTGTCGCGCATTTAAGCAGAAGAAGAATGGGGGATGTGTAGCGGGTCCTTCCGGTAGCTCCTCACTTCTTTTCCTCCTCCTTCTTCTCCTCTTTCTCCTCCTGCAAAAAGAAGTTGGATCTTGAGAGCTCGGGATCAGGCTCACCTTCTTTTCCTCCTTCTTCTCCTCCTTTTTCTCTTCCTTCTTCTCTTCCTCTTTCTTCTCCTCCTAAAAAGAGGTGATTTTGGGGCCATGATTTCAAAGGAACCTTCTTTTCCTCCTTCTTCTCTTCCTTTTTCTCGTCCTCCTTCTTCTCTTCCTTTTTCTCTCCTCCCTCGGCGCCGCCCTTCACGAAGTCGACGTAGAGCCTCTTGGTGCCCTCCGGTTCACCCTGAAAATTCAAGGAGTGACGATCGAGGAGAAAAGTGCACGAACCTTGTGATCGCCCCAAACCGCCCTGGGCGATTTCTTCTCGTCGCCGTTCTTCAGATAGTAGATGGCAAAGTAGTGCTTCCCATTGTCTGGCACCGGCTTGCCCGCGTTGAACACCAACTGCAAAATACCCGCATTTTGGCTGCACTGCTTGAACTACGTTGATCGTCGCCTGCTCTCCAGCCTTCAGCGCTCCGACGGGCGGGCGGATCCGGAACATCTCGTTCGACGTGCACTTCACCTGAAAAGAGCGCGCGGGAGGTGCTGATCAACGACTCTGCCACCCACCTTGTAGACGTAGCGGTCCTTGGTGTCGTTCTTGATCTTCAGCTGCGTGCTGGTGGCCTCCTCGCCGATCTTCGCGCCCGAGAAGATGATCTTGTCCGCCGGCTCGAGACCCAGCACGAACTCGGCAGCCATCGGTCCGGGTGTGGTGTCGTTTTGAGAATGACACCCGCGAGCTGGAGCTCCTTTTTATAGTCGGAAATTTGATTGAAATTGAGTCATGCTTCCGGATCGGAAATGTGTGGGATGCAAAATTATGCAATTTGCGTTTTTCATGCAAATTCTTTCCGCAAATTCGTGGCTGGGTCCATTTGGTAGATTAGAAATGGGGTCTCTAAAATAAATAATTTTTAGTATGTTTTTTTTTGGATATAAAAAAGTTTTGGGAAAGTACATTTTTCGTCCTCTATTGAAATTTTCAAGATTCCGAAACCTATTTGTAACATCTGTTTTAGTTCCGGAGCCGCTGATGCTGAAACACCTAGCAGCGATCAGACACATCCGATGGTGGGAGGATGCGGCGGCAGGATCTCCGGTTAAGGTAATTTTTAATCTGAATTTTGGTCAATACAATGCATCTTCCATACTCATCTAACAAAGCTTTTTTTTCAGGATCTCGTCCGCATCTTCAAGGACATGCGCGTCCGATTCCAAGGCCTCAAGCCGCTCAGCGTCTGGGCCATCGAATTTCTGGTGCGTTTTTTTATTTAGTAACTTTCTAACCCGAACTTTTAGTGCCACTTCTGCATGGTGCACACGGCAAATCGACAAACACTACCGATGGGCCCGACTTTCCTTCGAGTACTACAACTTCTAGCCGCTGGGGTAGGGTAGAAATATTCATTCTTTTATGATTTATTGTATTTAGGTATTTCTACCCGGTTCGATCGGGCTGGCGGATCCGTGTGATATCCCCAGCAACTTCCTATCCAACATTACGTTTGAGGAAATGGTAAATTTTGGAGGCGTGATGGAGTTTTATCGCTTTTTAGGATTCTCTCTGCTCGACGGCTCAAACACTGGTGCGCGTCATTTCCCATGGAGGACACGCACGTGTGATGGGTACTTCACCCGAGAATATTGGTGAGTTTTCGAGAATTTTAACATGAGTTTTTGTCTGTTTGTTCGCTACGGTCGGGTGGCCACTTTTTCTTAGAATCCATTTTTAAAAATAGGTTAAGAAATCGTTTTATTGATAGACGTTTGATAGACTATTTTTCTCACTTTCGAAACGTAGGAAGTTTTCGATTTGTTTTATTAGAAAACCATGACGAATCGATTTTCCACCAAAAAAATGCCACTTTAAAGCATTTTTTTGACTAAGTTCTCTAAAATCATCTTAAGGCTTGATTTACTTTTATGGTCCCCGTCCGAAAAGTGGTTTTTCGTGTCGGAATCGATTCAGAATTGTCCGAAATGTGGTTTACAGTTGAAAAAAAGGGTCGGAAAGATGTTTTTGCTAGGAAATATGCACTTTTTTATGAAAATTTGAGGACCATAAAATGGGGTACGGGGGACTGAAGTTTATGGTCCTCGGCTGAAACCCAATTTTTCTTGTCGGAAAATATCCAGAAATGTTCAAACTATCGTTTCCAGTTCAAAAAAATCGTCGGAAAGACCCTTATTAGCTTCAACAAATGTTTTGTTACAAAAATTCATTCAACCCAATTTTAGCCTAAAAATAAGGCTTCGTGCCACCCGGGGCCTAGTCGCTTCGGATGGGCGCGAGCTCGTACAGTGTTTCGAAATCGGGGCGCCCGAGCAGCGCGCAGCGCCCAGGCGCCCTGATTTCGAAAGAGTGGAGCGGCAGCCCATCCGAAGCGACGGCCCGCCTTGCCTGACAATGCTACGTACCGCACCCTGTTCATAAGTCTTAGGAGACCAGGAACATCTTTCCGACACTTTTTTTCGATGTACCATGCATTTCCAACATTAATCTATTGAATTGGTGAAAGAAAAAAATACTTTTCAGGTGAGGACCATAAACTTCAGTCCCCCGTACCCCCGTTTATGGTCCTCAAATTTTCGCGCAAAAAATTTCTTTTCTCCCAAAAAAATTTCTTTCCGACGATTTTTTTGAACTGCAAACGATATTTTAAATATTTCTGGATAGTTTCCGACAAGAAAAATTGGTTTTCAGTCGAGGACCATAAACTTCAGTCCCCCGTACCCCATTTTATGGTCCTCAAATTTTCATAAAAAAGTGCATATTTCCTAGCAAAAACATCTTTCCGACCCTTTTTTTCAACTGTAAAACACATTTCGAACAATTCTGAATCGATTCCGACACGAAAAACCACTTTTCGGACGGGGACCATAAAAGTAAATTTTCCCCATCTTAATTTTGTCAAACATGAAAGTTTAAAATCTCGATTTATACCTCTCGTTGTAGGAGAAAATTTGCCAAAGCACCCGTCTTTTATGCTTTTACCTTTTACTTAATTATAAATTTTCTAGATGTCACCGTCACGCCGACATATTACATGGTTGATGGAGAACGGGTGAGCCAATTTTATTCCCAGATTCTTCCTTTTTGGTTTTTATCAAGCTCTTTTTTCAGGTGGTCGTAACTCCGCTCGACAAGGCCTATGATCCAACACTGATGACAACCCAAAAACCGGCTGGGCAGGAGGCCAAGGCCGCTGCGCATTAACTCTGTAACACCATGCGTGATAATTTATTCGCCGCGAATAAAGGCATAATAAAACGAATTTCGAGTCCGACATTGGCTAACTGGCCCATCAATTTCTCAGGTCTTTTTTGGCCCCTTGTTGTTTCCCTGGAATCCGATAGAACTGCGGAGTTGTGTGACTCTTCTCATTGAGCTCAGTTTCAGGTTTTGTAGTATCCTAAAAGGGTGTAGACTTTGGGTTTAGGGTTCTGGTTCGTTAGCAGGGGGGGGCTAACTTCCTTTATCCCCCTCGATTCCTCCCTAATACCAAAACAAACGCTTTTTGCAGTGTTCTAGGGTTCCGTTTCCTAAAAAGTTGGGAAACCTTTACTCAATTAAAAAAATACATTTTGACCAAAAAAGGTAAAGTTATTCGAAAATTTAACGAATTTTTTCTACATACAGGGTGTCCCAAAAAAAAAGACCCCCCCAAAAATTTGAGCCAGAGGGCACCTACGGAGCTGAAAATTTGCACAGAGGTAGCGAAGCCAATTTCCCATGTATATGGAAAGTTTGAGCCCTATCGGCCGACGGGTTTTAAAGTTATAGCGAAAATACTTTTCATTTTTATTTTAATATGGAGATTTTTGCAATTTGCATCAAAAATATGCGTTATTCTTGAATTTACGAGCCGATTTTGCATAAATTTTGCCAAAAAATGCCATTTTCTTGCTGGAGCTTTTGGAAAACGATTGCTCATGCAGCGTGAAAACGATCAGCAAGACCGCTGAGTACAAGATACATTGGTTGAAACTATCGTTCAGCGCCGAAACTTCGCTTAGACTTTGGACTGACTTAAACCCAAGCCCAAATCTAAACTTAAGCACCACCTAGAAGCTCATCGAACTCTGTTTAGGGGCTAGCGCGAAGCAGATTGCCAAACTGCACAATAAGGCGTGGTTTGGATCGATAAAACAGTTGTTTTCACACTCTTTTTACTCCCCATACGCAATCGTTCGCGCCATGCTCCAGCAAGAAAATGGCATTTTTTGGCAAAATTTATGCAAAATCGGCTCGTAAATTCAAGAATAACGCATATTTCTGATACAAATTGCAAAAATCCCCATATTAAAATAAAAATGAAAAGTATTTTCGCTATAACTTTAAAACCCGTCGGCCGATAGGGCTCAAACTTTACATATACATGGGAAATTGGCTTCGCTACCTCTGTGCAAAATTTTCAGCTCCGTAGGTGCCCTCTGACTCAAATTCTTGGGGGGGTCTTTTTTTTTGGGACACCCTGTACATTATCTCGAATGATGGCCTAAAATTCTATTATTTCATCATAGGGCGCCTAGGGGAACATATGAAAATTTAAGACCCCCGCTAACGAACCAGCACCTTTAGTTTGATGCTTTCGAAGGAAAACCATTAGCACTCACTTTGTCGGGGTTCCGGGCGGTGTTGAAGAAGCTGTAGGGCCATCTGTGTCTCGGAGGTCATCCTTTGAATCAACCTTCTTTAAGTAATTAGGTAGAAACAGTAGAATTCACCTACCCTTCGCGTCCCGCCGCCTTTGTTTACCGCGAGACGCAATCTCATCTTGCTGCGTGTAGTCGGCGCAGTTGGAGCCGGATCAGTTGTGCAGACCTCCGCGTCGATCGCATCTTGAAATTCCTGGTTGCTCTTGTCAGTCTTTTCCTTGCGCGCTTCCAGTCGTGCCGCTTCTTCGCCGCTTTCCTGATGAAAGGAATAGATTTGTTGGTTCTGGTTCGTTAGCAGGGGGGGGGGGGGGTGGGGTCAAGTTTTCCAATTCTCGCGTACGCGCCTTATAAGAAATTATGGACAAGTTTAACAGCACCTTACGCTCTCTTTAGCTTTTAGAATGCATAGCTTAAAAAAATTTCGAGAAACCTAGGTTATGAAATATCGATCTAAAATAGGCCAAATTTTGTAATTAAAAATTTTTAAAGATTTTTTAGTAATTGAAAGCTACTAAAAACACTTGGTTTTCTGTCTTTGTCATCAAAATTGTTTGTCTAATTGTTATTGAGCGTAGGCTTAGTATAGGAAGTTTACTCCCCCCATAATGAACCAGAACCGATTGTTTTATCCGGATATCCCTTACCTTTTTGACGAATTGGGTGACTTTTCGATTAGCGCGGGATCGACGTCGAATTCGATCTCTGGCAGGGATCTGAAAAGCCTGCCACGTTCACAACTTCTATCAATTCCAATTTCCAAGTTTTTGGTGAAATCAAAATGAACCCACGTCATCGACAACCCCCTCAATGAGTGTTTTGCTGTTAGTGCCGCTAATTGGCTCTTCTGGCGCTACATCCTCGTCCGTCTTCATCATCGAACAGCGACAATTTAGTGGCCGGGATCGAAATAAATTCAGCTTTGTCTTCAATGATGCCCCCCGTCGGCCGCAAAACCACGTCACCCCGATGTGCTGGCCCAAAATATTTACGTTTCCTTGCTCCTTTCCGCCCAGCATGCTGGGCGCTATCAAATTGAGACGTTTGAGCATTTTTGAGGAGTGGGGGTGTTTTTGTTGATGATGTTCTCTTTTCGGGCCATGTAAGGTTTCAGAATTATATTACTTCTTTTTGCAGATATGCAACAACGGTAATGGGTTCCCGCGAACTCGCTCGAATAATTAATTTATCCAGAAAGCATCGGGTTCCGCAAAAGTGAGCGATTTTCGAACGTGCTAATTTGTATTTTAGGCTGCCCGATCGCTATATCCAGAACCTGTCTACAACTCGCTACCTTGAAATCAACGGGGTGAGAAAAGCTCTTTTTAGTGAAGTAAATAATCTTAGGATCAATGGGTCGTTGCTCGCTTCTCCTCGGCCAATGAGGAAACCATTCTTTTGGGCGGAAATGCTGGTGAAACTAACTTTATTTTGTAAACATTATATTTAGGAAAAGTAGCAGTCTTCGATGCGGAGACGAAAGTTTTGAAGCGAGGTGAGATAATATCTTCTTATGAAGCTGACAACGCGCTTTCCAACTGTAAACTATGTCCAGTTAAAAAGAGCATCCGTTTTTATTGACCTGTGGTTTCAAGAGTTTTTTTAGTATTCCGTGGCCACAACGGTGTCGTAAACGACGTGGCGTCGCGTGCAAAGTATCAAAACCAAGTGATCAGCGCCGCCGGGGATACGACGATACGACTGTGGGATTTTGAAAATACGGTTCGCTTACTATCACATTTTTATTGATCCTTTTTATAGCAAGAACCGATCCAGCAGTTTCTCGGCCACGACAAGAGTCTCCGATGCCTTTCGATGAATCCGGTGGATCCGCGTAAGCTCATTTTTATATTTCTAGAGATTTTAAGCTCAAAAACGCCTTTATTTGTATCAAATTGTGAATTCCACGATACCTTTCTTTTTCCAGACATGTTCCTCTCCTGCAGCCGTGATGACACCATCCGTAGATGGGACCTGCGAGCCGGCCCAGCCGCCAGGGCCACCTACGAACACCCCCATATTTCTGGCAGTGAGTGGAGCTTTGTAGCTTATACCGCCTTTTTCAGTAACTCGCACGCCATCAACGCCGAGATCACGGGCAGCACTGTCAATTACTTGCGTCCAATTCGTCGGCGAGCATCAGTTTGTCAGTGGGAGTGAAAAGGCCTACACGTGAGTTTGGATTCGTTGGAGTTTTCCAGTCGCTGAAAACGTGTGGTTTCTAGGTGAGAATGGGTTTTTGCGACGTGGTATAGCTCTTTAGATTGAATTTTTGTAATTCTAAACGTCCTTTTTTGCGAAAAGTGCTTACGGTAGCGGTTTTCGGCAAAATTGGCTCGAACGGGGCTACGATGCCCATTTTGGCTCTCGCGTAACAAAATCTGCACTTTGAGAACTTGTTCTCGTAGAGCTTGCTTTTTGAGCAGTTTTTCAAAATTTGTATTTTTTTTTCAGGCGTTTAAGCTAAATGGAATGAGTTATAAAACCCTCGCAATCCCCTGTTATCAGCTAAAAATCACTCCTTTCTCACGGTTTTTTAATTTTAATATTTATTTAGCGGTGTGCGTTTATGGGATGTGCGCTATATGAAAGCCGGCCGCAAGGGCCTCACCCCGATACACGTTTTCGGGCCGTCCGCTTCAGATAAAGGTTTTTAAATCTATAGTACTACGTAACATTTCAATTTTTCAGGCATTTCCTCAATAGCCGTTGATCGGTTTGGCTCGACGCTCTACGTGAATCTGACGGATCGATATATCCACGAATACTCGTTGGCCTCCCAGTCACTGAAGCCAGGTTTATTCTGTTAAATTTTTCCCCCACAATCCGTTATAGTGCGTATTTTGGACAAGCACCAAGTGTACAATCAATTCGAGGTGGCCCAGGTAAATTTTCGTTTTTTTAAAGCATACGGATCTTATTTTATTAATCCACTCTATCCATTCTAGCTGGCATGCAGCCCGATCTCAGATCATCTCGCTTGTGGGCTGAAGGACGGAGAGACGGCTATTTGGGATTTTCAGGTGCCTTGTCGAAACTTATGATATCCGCCGATCTTCTTAGGATTACCATGCTGACGCCTTCGATGCACCTTGGGAGTCTCGATGGCGTCCCGAGGAGAAGCCAAAGGCCAAATGGCAGCTGCAGGGGCTGGGACCCGATGCTTGCCTCAGCGTTGGGTGGAGCAGGACGGGAAAGTAAATTTTTAGCCTTGAGTTTTGATTGCTGACTTTTGGCAAATTCCTGCAAAAGTTACAAGGCAAAGAGATAACTGATTAGTTGAAACATGATACAATTTTGTTTTTTTAAACGAAATTCGAAAAGCAACCGTAGGACTGCCGGATAAAAATGGTGGCAATTCAGACGGTTGTGGGAACAACGTAGTAAATCTAGCAAAACTAGCATACTTTGGAAAAGCTGAAAGAACGGTTGTGCTCGCCTTTTGGAGGGCTTTCGACGGATACCTAAACCGTCAGAATTCGAAACTTCTCGAACGTCCGTGTTAGTGAAGGAGATTTTTTTGTACACCATGTAGATTACCTGAAATTAAAGATAACGTGTATTTTTCAGCGGTTTTGCATCAAGTATTTTCAGATACTTTTTCGCAATGGACGAGGTGGCGATGCGCGTCTGGGATGGTGCAACACCATTTGTCAGCCGAGCCGTAGATGATAGTGAGGTATCAAACCGTCTTTGTCCCTTTAAATCCATTTCTCTAGGTCCCGCGTGTCCATCGCCTGAGGCCTCTACTACGTCCCGACATTCAAAAGCGCCCGCCGAATCGGTAGTTTATGGAAAAGGTGATGAGCTATTTACTGCTATTTAGGGCTCCACCGGAGAGAATACCGCTGCAAGCCATGGTCATCTCCCCGAGCAAGGACAACATCATGCTGAACGCGCTGAACGGGCCGACAAATCAGAGCCCTCTGAAACGGACGCGGCTTATGGGCTCGCCAAGGACCCCGGTTGCAAAGCGATCAAGGTGTGCTTGAATTTGACAGGGAGTTGTGCCTATACATGACTAATGATAGAAATCTGATGTATGTTTTATCGTTTTTCTAGTTTCCTTTTTTTTTCTTGCTTGCTAAAACGTGCTAAAAAAAATTTTCTCGGCTTCGGAAAAGCAAGCATTTGACGGTTTTTTGTCATTGTGATCTCATTTTTGGCCATTGTGCAGAATTTTTTAAGTTTCAAGATGAATTGCAGACTAACAGTCGTAAATGAAAGCAAATTGGTCCGTCGGTAAATTTGGGTCCTCCAATAACGATCCAAAATCCTTGAAAGATACCTTGAAAATTGCCAAGTTTGTAGAATTTCTCAACAATTTCATTTTTCAGGTTTGATCAAATCTCGCCCGTTCTCCCGCCCTCATCCTTCTCCCCCGCCAAATCAGCACGATCACCCCGTGGCGTGGGCCTGTCGACGCCATTGAAGACGCCGAACAAGACCCCCATCAAGAGAGGGCAACGTCGAAACGCCGTCTATCATGCAAAGTAACAAATTTGGTACCTTACCAACTCTCTGTTTAGGTATCCGACGTTCAAATTGCCGAATCTTCGGTACGACCAAATGCGGCGGAAGCTGTTGGATAGAGAGATTTCCCGATTAGAAGGTGGCGGTTCAGGTTTTGGCGTTTTACAGTCGTTTTAGCTGAGGACGGGCCGTCAACTAGCTCTCCGGCTGTACAATCGCCGAATTCGATGGACGACTGGTTGAGAAGGCCAGCCAGAAATGGACATCCGGCCCGACTCGTCAAACTCAAGTAAGAGCTCGTGCTCTCGATAGCTTTGCAACTTCCGATCATTTTTCTTCGAAAATTTGGAGCAAATTCGCTCTCGGGCAATTTAGAAAATTTTCTCAAAATATCACGCTTCACGCATCCCCATCGAGGAAAAAAAGGCTTTTTGTGGGACCTGTATATTCTATGTCCTTTAGTTATCCGACCGCAGAAGAATTTGGCGACTCCCTCTGCTCGCAAATAATGACTGAGGCGGAACGGCTTGAGGCTTCGTCCCCGCAAAAGAAGGTCATCCGCACCCCGAACAAGGCCACTCCAGGTAAATCTCACTTTATGACCAACCTGCAAATTTTTAAAATGTTCTAAAAGTTATGGCTTTTGAAAATAAATAAAGAACCGGTAAGACTCCAGATCCCCCCAGCCGGCCCCAATTTTTATATCGGCTCCATGTTCATTTACAGGTGTGTAAAGTATACCAAAATGCTCGTCTTGCTCTGGTGAGCATTTTGGTATACTTTACACACCTGTAGATGAACAGGGAGCCGAGATACAAAAGTTGGGGGCCGGCTGGGGGGGTATCTGGAGTTCAGCCAAAAAACTACTAAAAACACTATAAAACTGTAAAAAAATTCGCTGGTTGTAGGGTAGATAACTTAAAACTTCATAACGTATCTGCAAATTTTCATTCATTCATTTTTAGTAAAATCGTCGGCGCCCAGCGGTTCTCGGCGAAGGTTGACGTTCGACAGTGATGACGGCCAGTCTCCGCCAATGAATCGTGGAGCACGAGCCCTTGCCCTCACCCAAGTACGCTCTACACCCAAGACACCGAGAAGCCAGAAGACACCCACACGGTCGAGCACCGTCCGCAATATTCTCGACTACTTTCCGAAAACGCCCAAGTAACCTTTGCCACGTTTTCCCGTTGTCAGTTTTTTGACAGGCTAATGTGGGTGCTGGTCCGTTAGCGGGGGGGGGGGGCGGGGGGTGGTTTAACGGGGCGCCGAAAAACACGCCGAAAAACGAAACAGAAAAATAGCTATCAAAAGTTCATAAAAAAATTTTGGAATTTGCAAAAAATTGACATTTGGCTACAAATGTATCAAAAAAATGCAACGATGTCAACTTTTACTCTTAATTGAATTTTTTGAAATTTTTCTAGAACTATTTAGTATTCGAAAACTGCTAAAAATGCTATAAAAAGTCGACTTTTCCAGTGGGGGTTAGGCTAAATCAGGACTTACCCCCCCCCCGCTAACGAACCAGTACCCTGATACATTGGATGATCTCTCCCCCTCTGCCACTTTCTTCCCTTCTGATGTATCCATTTCCTCCATTTATCACACATGCTACACCGGTAACACTTTGCTCCACATTGTCACTTCTTTCAACATTCAACGTTGTTATACATAGGCGCCAGTTCAAAGGAATAAATGCATACGATAAATTGGCTTTTACAAACGCATAAGTACAAGTTTATAACTTTCCGGCCAGGTTATTTTAATCCTTCATCTACTAAACTGAATTTCTTTCTTTGATTTGGTTTTGAACTGCGCGGCAGTGGTGTTTTGCGTCAAAAGGAGTCCCTTGATCGCCGGCCAGGATAATTCTTCGAAAATGGGTTTGGAGTGTGGAAAACTGAAAAACAAGCGGAACTTTGCAAAATCATTTTATTTGAATTTTCATAATATTTCTTTTCCAAAACAATTTTATAAATTCTATTGCAGCCAAAATGTCCGAGTACAGCAACGTAAAATCGGGCACCCTGAAGCTGAAGGGCAAGAAAAATATGTGAGTTTCCATTTTTTTCCTATTATCGCTGTTCTAGATTCCGCGTCAAGTCGAAAAAATCGGGCAAGGGTGACGCGGAAGCACTCGTGGATCATGATGCGATTGAACACGGTAATTTTCTAAAAATTGCTCCCTGATATATCGCAGATCTGTGTCGTTGAAAAATTCTGGGTTTCCCCCTCTAATTTACTTGTTTAGGAGGATGGTGGCTGATTCGTGAAGACGTGGATTTGAAGGGCGGCATTCACGTGTCACTGGAGGTCGGCGCCTCGAAGGGCTGCTACCTGGCCGCCATGGACAACGGCAAGTTCACCATCGGGGCGCCGCACCCGGACGGCGAGCCGCCGAACCCGGAAGAGGTGTTCGCCTTCATCAGAACGTCGGATGAGCAAAAATTCAGGTTGGAATTGTGAGGATGGTAATAATGTCCTTTCGATTTGTCGGACCGCCATTCGTAATTTTGAAATTCTAGAATGTCGAATTTCTGATCAATTTCTATTTAAATTTCGAAAATCCCTAGGTCAATTAAAAAATAAGATTATGATTTAGGCGTTCTGGCATTTCGACGTTTTCCAATCTGATTTTTAGTTTAAAGACCGGCTTCGGCAAGTACATTGGCGTGGACACGGCTGGACAACTCATCGCGACAGCCGAAGCTATTGGAGCCCGCGAGCGGTTTATTGCCGTTTTTCAGGATGTACGTCTACCACCGCTTTTTCTTTGCTATTTGTGTATGATAAAATATGTAGAAAACGTTTTGTTCTAAATCATATCTTTGATTTTCAGGGCAAATCCGCCGTGCAGTCAGTGATGAACCCGCTGTTTTTGACGATGATGCCGGATCGTGAGGGCTACATCTTTGTCGCTAGTCGCACGGCCGGAGATAACGAAATTGTCAATGTAAGTTCGCGATTTTCAATTTATTTATCGAACTTTTTTAGATCCGTACAGACGCCGAGAAGCAGAAGCCGATCGACTACATCCCCGACGATGACCGGAAAAGCGCCGGGGAGTGCGAGACGTCATACGTCAAAATGTTCCAGCACTCGAAGGTGGACCTGAAGAATAGGATGGTTTCAGGTTAGATCGGTTTTTCGCCTCTATTGGTTATTTTCCCTCGAGAATTAGGGTAGCGCAACCTATTTTTGAAAATTTACTTTTGGTGATCCGCGCCCAAAACGTGTATTTTCGTGTCGGAATCGATTCAGAAACGTTAAAAATCTGGCTAGGCTATGAAAATAATTTGCCAGAGGGATTTTAGGGAAATAACCAGGGTTGAAAAACCGCTTCGCGGCTTTTCAACCCTGGCCCCGTCTTCTCCAATGATATTCTTGGCTTTGCATAATTTTGCCGAATTCGGATGACGAAAATGAAAAATGCTCTTGCCGTCCCTTTATATAGGCTACCGCGACTTCCGGTGCATGCTAATTTGATCCTAACAAATTGGAGTGTCCGATTTTCCATGAAAAGCTTAATTTTAATGTCGAAAACATCATATTTTGTAAGATCTGATATGTGTGCAGTCATCTCCAGCCCATTACGCACCTAATGACGTATCGAACATACCCCTAAGTACTTCCCCTCTTGAGATACTACTGGAACACGCTGACGGAAGTTGCATGCAAATGCACACACACACACAGGAACTATTTTTTTATATATAGTAGGATTACTGTCTCGGTTCTGTTCTATTTCGTGTGGGGGAAAAAACTGTGCGGGGGGAATATGCTTCGCGGAACCTTCTATCTTTTCGCTATTTTCTCGGGATTTTTGCAACGCCATTCGATAGAGCATCAAAAAAATATACGAAGAGTTTTTGTTTTAGCCAAAAATATTGTAATATAAAAAAGTTATAGCAAAAACAAAAAAACTATTGAAACTGGTTCCGGAATGCTAGTTTTCGGCATTTTCGCCAGTTTTTCGATATTTTGAACCCGTCATTCGATAGAGCATCAAAAAATATACTAAGAGTTTTAATTTCATCCAAAAATATTGTTTTATAAAATATTTATAGCAAAAACAAGGTTTAAACGGTGTTTCCACACGGAATCGTGGAGTCGAAAGCTAGTTTTCGACATTTTCGATAACTTTAAAAAATTTCTTTAATGCCATTCGATAGAGCGTCAAAAAATATACTAAGAGTTTTAATTACAATTCAAAATAGCATCATATAAAAGAGTTATAAACAAAAACGAAGAAAATCCCCCCGCACAGTTTTCCCCCACGCGAAATAGAACAGAACCACTGTCTCAAGCCTCTGGCGCCCACCAAAAACTATTCGGGGTTAGCGGGCGTAGCCCGCTAACCCCTTTTGGTTTGAGGTACCCCCCCATATTATTGTTTTTCCTTTCAGTCGACGTCAACGACAAGAAGGGCGTCAAACGTGCCCAACGTGATGGTGACCTGCACGAACATCTGCTGGAGAGGCGGAAAAAGACGAAAAGTGATCGATATTGTTGAATGTGCTACTTTGGCGTGTATTTATTTGTATCTTTGAAACTCATTGTCAACTATTCCCTACCAAACTTCCTTGTTATCCCCGTTTGATGACGTGTAGGTTTTGAAGGTTTTGCGGAAACAATTTGGGCTGCTGTTGTTGAACTTTTCCTGTTGATTCTTCTTCATAAAAAACGATGTTAAGAAATCCGCAAAATCTTCACCCGGGTACTCATTTTCATCTTATAAAATAATTTTTCATCTTCGAGGACCTCCCCTTATATTCACATTTGTTTGATCCAATGAAAAAAATAACAGCGATCGCTGCAATTTGCCAAAAATAAATATTTGTCGGTTATAGAACAAAATACAGTGTGAAACGGTTATTGTCGCCCGGGATTTTGACTTTATTGGTGGTTTACGTTTTTCCGAACTAATCCAAATAGATTTTTGCTTACTATAAGTGCAAAAACTATGCAAAAAAATACAAAAACAGCTTTTTCAACTTTTAAAACAGTTTTTGAAACGTTCTAAATAGTTTTTCCGCTTGGAATATAATTGAATTGATCCCTCACCCGCGACGAGGTAGCAAGCAGAGAACTCTCAGGAAAGAAGAAATCGTGTGGTGACGTCAATTGGCGTCGAGAAGATGAAGATGTTCGGCGGTGGACCACTGGCGGAAGCCGCCCCGCGAGCCCGCTTTTTCTCCCCGGCCTAAAAGGCGCCCTGGCACCCGTATCTCATGGCCCCTTTGATCCTTCTCGAAGTGACTGGCATGCCGAAAGTGAACCCTTTTCTCTCGATTACGCCATTGATTTGTCGAAAAAAAATTTTTTGCCCAAAAAATTATATTATTTAACCTGGGACTCACTTTGGGCGAGAACTGATATTTCGAAATTCGATTTCCTCATTGCGTAGAACTGATTCTTAATTTTTGCCCTTGGAGTAATATATTCTAACGATTTTCCTGCGAACTTGAGTATTAACCAAATTCCCAGAAATTCGAAGGCTAGAGCTTGCAGACTAGCTTGTGGTATAACGTCTTCTGGCAGGACTTTTATGATCTCTCTTCGCGAATTCCAGTCATCTCCGTTTATCGATCATCGTGTCGATTGCTTTTTCAAGTTCCCGGGGGGCCATATACGCACCAATATCCTTGTCATCTGCGCGCTGCGTTTCTGGAATTTTCCAGACGAGCCTCGCACAGAGTCATAAAGGGTTATTCTTGCGCAACTCAAATTTCCCTGAATTTTTCCCATTCATGTCTCCATCCTCCCGATTTTCCTAAATCCTGATTTCAGAAAATGTTTTTCAACATGGGTGGCATGGGCGGAAGCCGGGGAGGAGGCGGACCCGCCGACACAAAACTTTACGACCTTCTCAACGTCGGCCCATCAGCGTCTGATGATGAAATTAAAAAGGTTTGCGTGATTTTTTTTTCTTAAAGACTGTTCTTTAGTCCTACAAAAAGCTAGCCCGCGAGTACCACCCCGACAAAAATCCGGACCATGGTGACAAGGTATCCGATTGTTTTGTTTGCATAAAAACGATTGTTTGTTTCAGTTCAAAGAGATTTCCTTCGCCTACGAAGTGTTGTCAAACCCGGAGCGAAGGCGGATGTACGACCAAGTCGGATTGGAAGGGATGAAAGAAGGTTTATTGTTACTGACGTCCAG